ATCTTCAAAACTACGCAACGGATTTTGATGCGGTTTTATAGTTAGAGTGATTGAAGAGGAAGGTTTGTATAATAAAGTGGAAAAATTTTGTATTCAGCTCTGCCGGGACGGGTCGCTATTATCTTATAAATAAAGATGAACTGTAGTTTATCTGTCTGGCTAAAACTCAAGAACGACTGGACTGATTCAAGAAAATACGCTCTTGAAATATTTAAATTCAATTTAAATATTAGAAAAACAAAAGACGACAGATGTCTGCTCTGCAAGTAAAATAAATGAAATTCGATATTTGTCACAGAAGGAAAAAAATTGGACATTATAAAAAATTTTGAGGTGATACGGTACGGAGTTCGTTTTGAGAACTTTTTCGAACGTTGACTTAGGTATGTATGTATAAAAAATGATTGATCATTCGTCTCACTAGAACTCGAGAACGGCTATACCGATTTAGCTTACTAAGGTATTGAAATAATCGTGGAAATCTGGAAAATATTTAAAAGTAGGATTTAGTCTTTGGTAACCTCACCTATACACGGTTTCGAAGAAATCCAATCTTAATTCATTAAGAAAAGCTCGACTAGTTTCAAGCCGCGACGGGACTCTTATTCATGAGTAGTGTGCGCGTCGCTGCAACGTTGTGCAGCCAAAATTACGCCTTTTCAATAAATTTATCAAGTACTAGCTATTCTCGTGCGGTTTTACCCGCTGCTCGGCTCCATTTAATCGTAGCGTGATGTTTTATAGCCTATAGCACTCAGGAACATTGTAGCTATCTATCAGTGTAAGAATTTTGGTAATCCGACCAGCGGTTCCAAAGATTACCCCCTACATACAAACTTACAAATTTTACCTTTTTATAATATTAAGTATAGATTTAATACGATAGTTATTATTCTATAAACAAGCTTGAATATATATTTATATCTACACATATCTATTAATATAATTCAATGGTCAAACTCCATTCATAATTTGACTCATCGAAAATTCTTGAAAAACGAATAAAGTCAAGGTTTTTTGACCTTGAAAATTCGCATGAAGGTCTTCATACTACACAGACTTTAAGTAGGTAGGTACCTAAATAATTACTGACATAGGGTTACCACCAAACTAGGGTAACCCTGTGTGTTATACCTGACTAGCTACTCCCGCGCAGTTTCACTCGCTGCTCGGCTCCATTTGATTGTAGCGTGATGTTTCATAGCCTATAGCACTCGGGAACATTGTAGCTATCAATTAGTGAAAGAATTTTGGAAATCCGACCAGCCGTTTCAAAGATTACCCCCAACATATAAACTTACAAATTTTACCTCTTTATAATATTAGTATAGAAAAAAAACAACGCAAGGCACGTCTTGAAATCGTAGGTAAGCTTGTAACAAAATCGAATATAAATTTAATATATCTCGCAATAGTTAAAATTCATGAATAAAATTAAAAAAGAAATCGAAATATTAATTAGTCGCTGACGTATGTAAAAAATATCTTATATACCTACATACATAGAAGTCATTATCCCTATTAAAAATTATGACGTAAAATATATTATGTATATAACAAATATCCTATTTATTAAGATGATCAACAACAAACCTGCATACACACACGGTATGCTTAATATTATTGATCATTAATTTCAAATTAACTTCTTAAATTACTCCGAGTAGGATCCGGACTTTAAATACGTTTGAACTATATACAATAGGATATGTTTTTAATTAGTATTTTATCAAGAACTAGCTACTCTCGCGCGGTTTCACTCGCTGCTTGGCTCCATTTAATCGTAGCGTGATGTTTTAGCCTATAGCTTTTAGGAACATTGTAGCTACGTATCAGTGAAAGAATTTTGGCAATCCGACCAGCGGTTCCAAAGATTACCCCCCTACATACATATAAACTTACAAATTTTACCTCTTAATTATATTAGTATAGATTACTCTTTCATTCTTCCATGTCAAAAAAACCATAGGAATACCACATGTTTTTTTCTAATCGTTCCTTTACACTCCCTAGCACCTGTCAGCCTGTTACGCGCAAAAATTACAGCTGTGTACTGTCTGACAATGGTGACGACAAAAAAACAAAAAAAAACATTATTTCTATTGATGATTTCACCTTTCAAAATACGCTAGTTTTGTTTTTTAGCCAAATATCTTAAATTATTGCACCATAAAACAGCTCAGACCTTCGACTCGGAGATTTTTTTAAAAACCTGTATTGCAAATAATAAGTTGTGCAGACGAACCACTTCTTAGTAAGAGCGACAGGAATTGGACGACTTTTTACGTTTAATCCAACAACGCGCTGCGTATTTTGATGTTGTTTGAGTTGGCTTGAATAAACACTGAAACTGTTGGGAAGCTACATTGTCGCTAGTGATTATTGGCACTATTAAATTACTCATGTGAAATCACAGGGCACGGGTAGTGGATCAGCCCAACCCCAAAGTCTAGCCTCAATCCCTAAACCTTCGGAAACCCTAATCCCCAAAAGTTCTCCTCTACACACTCATTACTCCTCCGATGTTGTCCATGACCTTGGATGGCGCCGATTGCTTACTATCAGGTAATCCGTCTAATCGTTTGTCTTATAACATAGCATCGTTGATACTTGAACTTCCCTTATATTTCTAACAACAAAAGTCAAAAAGGCAAAAATCGTCATCCACAGTTACTCTTTTTCAATCAGTTTCACAAACAGATGCAAGACAATCAAGCTTAGTTTGTCACGACGCCGACGACATAAAAATCGCCGACGGTAACAACTAAAAGTTGCCCGTATGCCAACATAATGGATATTTAAATATTAAATTATTTATGTTATACAAACGAATCTAGTTCCTAGTTCTAATTGAGTGGATTATAGACCAAGTCTTTTTATGAAAACCTGTGTCTTAGTTTTTTAACGAAACATTATAGGTAATTATTATTTTATTACATGTTTCTACGTAATAGAATATTAATAAAAATTTAAAATTAAATAAAATTTGAATGCACTCTTGACGCGGTGGCTGGAAAACCAGCTGACGTACAACTTGAGGTAGATTCTCTCTTCTAGGTAAAAACGGAACAACTCTTTGTGATCCAAAACATATATCTAATTACTTTATTAATTGATAAACGGGAGTTTTAATCACATCACAACATTGCCCACTGCTGAGAAAGGCCTCTTCTTACGCAGAGAAGGTTTGACCATTAATCACCATGCCAGCTCAAAGCGGATTGGCAAATACAAATTTATTATTAGAAATTATAAGTCCAGGTTTCCTCAGGATGTTTTCCTTCGCCGTACGTCATTGGTATCTCAATAATCATAGAAAGCACATATAACTCGGAAAAAGGCACATTGATACTTGCCAGGTTGGCCTCCTTATTCGGTACGCCACGACCTTTTTGGTATCTATTTACATACCTAAGAACAGCTTTTTTATTGTATCGGGTTGGAAAATCCTCATGGAGACCCATCGCCCTCGGGGAAGGGCGAAGGGTACTGTCAGACTCTTACTGACTAAAAACCAACCCGGTGTTCCTCCACTTACCCATGTGTCGTAGGGGTGGGTATCGCCGAAGCATTCGTCGCAACCATAGATATAAGAAAAGAGGTCGCAACCAAACCATTCGTCGCGACCAAAGCATTCGTCGCAACCATACATAAGAACAGCTGGGTTATGTTCGTTCGTCATTTTCCTATCATTCTGCTTTTTCTTTCGGTCCGATTACAATATTATTTTGATATACATAGACATTTTTTTTACGCTACCTAAGTCTGTTAAAAACAAATATTCGTTAGAAATCTTTTTTTATTTGTATAAGTCCACAAACGAGCAGACGGATTACCTGATGGTAAGCAATCGGCGCCGCCCATAGACACCCGCAACACCAAAGGAGTTACGAGTTCGTTGCCGGCCTTTTGGGGATGGGGGTTGCGGATGTAAGGATTGGGAGGGGAGGGATTGGGCCTCCGGTAACCTCACTCATACGGCGAAACACAACGCTGTTTTCTCATGAAATCTTAATGAAATTCCAATATATATATAATGTATTATTAAAGATTTGTGTCATAAACGTACGTGTTAAAAATTATCTAAATACTATGTATGTATATCATAGTTTATCAAATATTACAAGTTACCTAAACATAATTATTATAATGTAATTTCAAACACGTGTCTTTATCCCTGCTTATGTAATTTTTATGTTACAACAATTGTTCTAGTATTATTATTATTCAGTATTTATTGTATAACATACATTAATAAGAAGTTATTATAATAATATTAAATAAACCCAGTTATTATTTTTAATACACATAATAATGTGTAATATGCTGTATATATCAGGTATATTTTTATGTTTATATCACAAAAATCTATTCGGTTTAAATTATTTTTTTTGTTTTTACCCGACACGGCAAATCAAAAGGAGGGTTATGATTTTGATAGACTATGTATGTGTGTATGTATGTATGTATGTATGTATGTATGTTCATCTGTTCCCTCGTAACTTCTCAACTACTTATCAGAATTCGACATATGACATATCATTAGAAACGTCTTAATTGTCCGCTAGTTAAAGGCTATATGATGTATCACAAAACCTTATGTGGTGTCGTCTAGCGGTTAAAAAAAACAGAGTAAAAAAAATAAAGTAAAGACAATTATTTTTTTATGGAAACAAGTGACAAATGAGCAGGCTTATCCCATCACACGACGAAACACAACGCTGTGGTTGTTTCACGCTGGTTTTCTGTGAGGCCGTGGTATCACTCCGGTCGAGCCGACCGATTCGCGCCGAAGCATGACTCTCCCACATGATAGTAATTATAAATGTGAGAATGTATGTATGTATGTCCATTATTCTTTCACGCAAAAACGGCTGGACGGATTTGTTTAAAATTTGGATCATTTAGATACCACGCAGGCGAAACCGCAGGCGAAAGCTAGCCTTTTATATTAAGATATTTAGATGGTTGTTCTAATATTATCTCTCTCATCTTTGCAGGTCTGTTCATTCAGCTGATGCTGGGATTCTTTGCACTGTCAGCGGGATGCTTTATCATGTTCGTGAAACCATATGATTTCTTCTTCAAGCAGGTAATAATAATCAAATATAATACCTATCTTTCTGTTTATGACTACTTAATCTCAGTGATTTTCATTTCTTTTTAATTATAAGTTTGAAATCGCCAACCCGAATTGAGTAAGCGTGGTGATTATTGCTCTATCCTTCTCCGTATGAGAAGAGGCCTTTGCTCTATAGTGGGCACTTATAGGCTCATGATGATGATGATGATGATGATCCCCTCCAGTCGCAGTGTTTTGAAAAATATACTTATCATAATTTTGAAGGAAACGGGGCTTTTGTTAAAACTTACATTTTGTTCATATTGTCCACAGAAAGCCGTATTATCTGATGGAGGCGAAATCTTCGAGATGTGGAGAAAGCCTGAGGTGGAACTCTACACAAAAGTCTACCTCTTCAACATCACAAATGCTGAGGAGTACATGGCTGGTATCGATGACAAAGTCAAGGTCAAGGAAGTTGGTCCCTACGTTTACAGGTATGTAAAATTAATTGATCAAACCCCAAGCGAACGCCGGCGTTCGTGCACCTTTTGTTTCTCAAATTACCTACTAACTATTAAAGGTTAAATAATCAAAGACATGACGTCGTGGTGGCCCGAAGGTTAAGGCGCCTGCTTCTCATGCATGAGGGATTGAATGTACTTTCTATGATTATTTGGACACCACTGACATACGGTGAAGGTAAACGTCGTCAGGAGACCTGGACTTACAATTTCAAATTTAGGATTCAAATCGCCAATCTACCTTGAGCAAGCGTGACGATTAATGCTCTCCGTGTGAGAAGAGGCCTTTGCTCAGCAGTGGGCTCTTGTAGGCTGATGATGATGACGAAGACCTAAGTGACCGTTACCAACTATAGTTTTAAGATTAAACATTGTATTAACATTCTCATTCCGATCGAACAAAATCAGATTGATCCAGAGATCGCTTACGAACAAGAAAAAAACTCGTATCTTCAATATTTAACCTAAATTAATAATAATATAATAATAATAATGTTTATTTGTTGTAAAAAGGTAGATTACAAAAAAAAAGATCTTAAAATCTATAAAAAGTACAGTGTTTAACATAATTTATTAAATTAGCTACTGTCCCGCGGTTTTACCCACTGCTCGGCTCCTACTTATTATAGCGTGATGTATTATAGCCAAAGGCTTCCTCGATAAATGGAATAACAAACACAAAAAGAATTGTTCATTTCAAACCAGTAATTCCAAAGATTACCCCCTACATAGAAACTTACAGTCTTACAAATATACTAACTTAGGCATTAAATTAGGCAAAATTAGGCATTGGCCTAATTTGCCGATTTGGCTAATTTTGATCTTGAATTATTCGTGGAAGTCCAGAAAAGGTTTGTACGTGGAGAAAATTAAAAAAAAAACTTGAAATAATGTAAAATAGACATCCAGGTGCCGCGGGCGACCGCCAGTATTAGTATAGATAAAAATTAAAAAAAATCACCTGTCTATTTCGCAGAGAATCTCTGGAACATAAAGTGACGAAATTCAACGACAATGCCACCCTATCAGCGATTCCGAAGCACCCTCTAACGTGGGTCGAAGAGTTATCTGAGGGGAACCAAGAAAACGACACTCTCTACCTACCCCATATTGCTCTGCTAGTAAGTACTGCATTAATTTTTAACGGTAGATTAGTTTTTAAGTGTGGGAGAGCCATGCAAGCTCGACCGGAGCGATACCACGGCCTCACAGAAAACCGGTGTATTACAACCATAGCGTTGTGTTTCTCTCAATGAGTCACCGCGGCCTCGGTCTAGAGCAGGAGAAGGAGCGGGGGGGTTTTTAGTAAGTAAGAGTCTGACGAGAAGTCATTTGATGATTTCCACCTGACAAAAAAAAAGCGTTGTGTTTCGCTGTGTGACTGAGGTTACCGGAGGCCCAATCTTTCCCTTATCCCTAAATCTCAAAATCTGTGATTTCCAAAATGTCGGTAACGCACTTATAAATTCTATTGCGAGAGTCCATGGGCGGCGCTGGTTGCTTACCATCAGTTAATACGTTTATATGGCTATTCTACACTTAAACATTTATTTTAACAGAATATGATTACCATACATTTGTAAGTTTTGTCTATAGGTACCTACCTAATACAAATTAATTTTGCATACTGATTCTCGAATATTCTTTGACTTTTCGATCTGTTTGTTAATTCATAACTCTCTTGAGTTGAGAAACAAACTCGAAACGAAACCAGATTTGGCATGGTGGGAGGGGGGGTAGATTTGGTTCTGTAGGCTCACTCTCAGTATAAATAACGTTCCTTCCACTATTCCGACTGCATAATAAATAATACCTTTTTTTGTGAAGAGAAAATTATCAAATGACTTTTCAGGCAGGATGCTTCCAGCCCTACCCTGGTGGGTTCCAGACTCTTACTGACTAAAAACCTCCCCATTCCTTTTCCTTCTCTGAACTTGGCTCTTTGAGGCGCGCGGAACGCTACGTGCCGTATTCTCGGGGTCTGGTTCTGATCGGGCGTCGAGCTACCCTTACTCGTCGTCCGCAGACACGCGCTTGCGTTGACCGGAGATCATTTAAAGCCCAGAATGTTGCCTACTGGGGCCTCATCTTAAATGCTAAGATGCCATTTAGTACATACCAAAGTATTTACAAATACATTCACTACTAGGCTTGGCATTTATGTCCTAGGAAGGATATTCTAGAATCAATTACCTATGCAGTTATTTTGCCATATACATCCGTTTCTAACTTCCACTTGACCCGTCAGCGTTTCGCAAGGACTAAGAACCTAGGTACCGATGTTGCAAGCAAACCCATCCTTAAAATTGAGCAATATATTTATTTAAGTACCTACACACTAGAAGTACTTTTCATATATGTATATCTAAAGGCCTTAGTTAGGCATAAAATTAGCTTAGAGTTTACGTAAATTTACAATTTATATATTCACTCTGACAATGTTTGGAAGTCTATGTTGATGTGTCATAGTTAAAGTCAGTCAGAGGTTGAATTTCTAAATCCATGTCATGACATTATCAACCTATATGTGTCCACTGCTGAGCAAAGGCCTCTTCTCACACGGAGAAGGTTTGAACATTAATCACAACGCTTTCTAAAAGCGCATTGGTGATTTCAAACTTATAATTGTGAATTATTGTAAATCCAGGTTTCCTTGCGATATTTTCCTTCACCGTACGTCAGTGGTGTCTAAATAATCATAGAAAGTACATATAAAACGAAAAAGTCACAATGATACTTGCATGATGATGTATGAGAAGCAGGCGCCCTAACCTCTGGGCTACCACGAATTCCCAAAGCCCCTAATCGTTTATTCCTTTTTTGAGGGATCATCATCATCAGCCTATAAGTGCCCACTGCTGAGCAAAGGCCTCTTCCCACACGGAGAAGGTTAGAGCATTAATCACCACGCTTGCTCAAGGCGGATTGGCGATTTCAAACTTATAATTAGAAATTATAAGTCCAGGTTTCCTCGCGATGTTTTCCTTCACCGTATGTCAGTGGTGTCTATTTAATCATAGAAAATACATATGACTCAGAAAAAGTCACATTGGTACTTGCCAGGTTTCGAACCTGCACCCTCATGCATGAGAAGCGGGCGCCGTTACCTCCGGGCCACCACGACAGAGGGTGTTTGAGGGATGAATCATCAAATGAATCATCAAATAAATGACTTCTCTCACTCTAGGGGAGACGAAAAGGAGATGTCAGATTTCTTACTGAGAAAAACCACATCCTTTCTCCTGCTCCAGGCCAGGCCAAAGTACTTAATTGCAACTAGCAATGACCTCTGAGTTTGTCTGACCTCTGAGTTTGTTTCGGCATTTCTTTTCAGAGTAATCAGATAGGAAATGCCGGCTTCATCTAGTTTTTTACATATAAATTGACGTGTAACAGTGCCGTTTTATAGCCTATTTGCAAAAATAAATTCATTGTTTCAATGGACAACAATGACATTTTCAATTTAGCTACATGCATCGCTTGGCTGATAACAATGTCAAATACAAGATACCAAATACACATTATCAACGTCAGTACTGGAACTAAGTGTGTCCGGAATTTGGCAATGCCTATGTATGTCCCAAATAACAATTGGGACGATATAATTACAATAAATTGACGAGAATATTGCGCACAATAATTATTTAACTTAGCAATTAATAATTTTATGTATGTAATTGACTACTCGCGTGAGTGCGGTGGCTGGGTAACTAGATGCCGTACAACGTGCTGCGGGTTCGATTCCCGAAAGGAACAACTCTTTGTGTGATCCACAAATTATTGTTCCGGGTCTGGGTGTCATATGTATGTGAAATTGTATATTTGTAAAGGCACCCACGACACAGGAGAAAATCGTAGTGTAATTTTAACCTATATGTCCATATAATTATGAAAGAATAAGTGCCCACTGCTGAGTAAAGGCCTCTTCTCACGCGGAGAAGGTTTGAGCATTGATCATTACTCTCGCTTAAGGTGGATTGGCAATTTCAAACTTATTAATAGACTTTGTTAATCCTAATTCCCTCACGTCATTTTTCATTACGCCAGTAGTGTCTAAATTATTTATCTTTACAATATTCACTCTTGGTATTTAAGTTGCAAAACGTCATATTTCATCATTTATTTCTCATTATCTGCGTTCTGACAGTTTGAATACTTGCGCGACCCACCCAAATGTTCTTTTGATCGGTATTGTTCGTCGGACAACTCAGCAGCACTAGCTATACTGGTTGCAAGCTGACACTTGCGTGCCTGTCTTCAGAACGGGTCCACTTAAACTGGTGTGGTTCTTTCCTCAAAAGACCACAACAGAATGAACTTGCACGGTTCTCTCACATTATGTTATTTTTACATTGTCTGGACTTGAGACTCTGAGTTTGTTTCGGCATTTCTTCTCAGAGTAGTAAGATAGGAAATGCCGGCTTCATCTAGGTTTTTAACATATATTTTGACGTGTAAAAGTGCCATTTTATGGCCTATTTGCAAAAATAAATTAATTGTTTCCTAATGCCACATACAGCTCCATACATGGCGCCCAATATTCGGGCCACGACTGTCTTAGTTTACCTATATCAAATTAATCATAATATTATCATTTGTTGCAGAGCATAGCCAATGTGGTAGCCAAAAAGGACCTCTTCACTCGATTTGGCCTTAACAACCTGATAACCTTGACCAATACGAAGCCGCTGGCCAAGATGACTGCCAGAGAGTTCATGATGGGGTACAAATCGGAGCTGATGACTCTTGGCAACACCTTTATGCCAGGTTGGATCTACTTCGACAAACTTGGGCTTATCGACAGGGTGAGTTTTTTCATTATTTAGTTTTGGATCATCGATCACTAAAAAAGTTGGATCCTTAAAAGCGCAGTTGAATAATATTATGCTCCTGTTTTCAAGAAGAAACTTTAGAATGTTGGGCTAAATTTATTAGTACTTAAAAACTAGTAATATAGAATTGATATTTGACTCACTTAGTAATAGATACAACTTTTTTTCTGTATAAATAAATTCAAAAAAACATTTTTTTGAAATAATGACTATCGTTACACGTACAAATTTTTTTGAAACTCACATGAATTAACCTAGAGTAGCTCGACTAGTTTCAAGTCATAACGGGACTCTTATTCATGAGCACCGTGCATGACGCGACGACGTCGTGCAGCCGGCCAAAACCAGTAGAGCTTTTCTCAATTAATTCACATGACTAAGTGGTCATTTTCGATAAAAAACAAATATCGAAAAGCAGTATGCCATTGAAAACGAAAGGATTCCAAGATACAGGTGGTCAGGATTCCTAAGAGTAGAATCTCCACACAAATATGCGCCTTGTCCAGAAACACTACTATCTGTAACAGACCCTTGATCCAACCATCGAACGTTAGACTTACTCATTTATTGACAATCCACTAATTATCAGTAATCTCCACAGATGTACGACTTCGAAGGCGATTTCGAAACGGTTTTCACTGGGGCTGATGATGTGAGGAACTCTGGTCTGATCGACACCTACCGAGGATCGACAGATCTGCCCCAGTGGGAAGGGAAACACTGCTCCAATGTGCAGTATGCATCAGATGGCACGAAGTTCCGTGGTGGTGTGACAAAGAATGAAAGCATACTGTTTTACAGAAAGAGTTTGTGCAGAGCTGCTCCTTTGGTAAGCATTGATGGTCATCATTTCTATTTGTCCGTTATAGTTCATTTACAACTTTACTAGGTGCTCCATCTAATTAGGCATCCTTGATCAGTCAGAGCAATTTGAGAGCCACCATTGAAGTTATTTTTTTTTTGTTTAAAAATATTGAGTATCGTCTCCAACTTCTGAATAAGATTATTCTATGTCAGTTCATGATAAAATTTCTGATTCAGTTTCTTCTGATTTTGATTCCGATACCGATTATGACCAAATCCGATTTTGGTACAATTGCCTAGTGTAAGTAGCAAAGTGACATAACAGTTGTTTTTATTAAAAAAAATCTTAGTCTTATAAATGTGCCGCGTGACAAAACTGGTACCATGTGTGAGATATCTGCTCCTCTGCCTTGCCTTTGCCTTTGGGAAATAAAAAGCATGTCAATTAATAAGAAAAACTTTAAAAGATATAATAGACACTTGAGATTTAACGTCCAAGTCGATTGCAGTTCCAATTCTAATAATAAATTTCTTCTGCAGGTACCAATAGACGAAGGTGTGAAGAGTGGACTCAAAGGTTACAAATACACTTTCCCAGAAAACATGCTGGACAACGGGAAATACATCAAGGAAAACGAATGCTTCTGCAGACACGGTAAGCTCTATTTTTCTATAGCAAAACTGTACACACAAGCAAATTCTCTGGACCCCTTTAATGCAGTATGTATTTTCGTTAGCAAAAATTTTAAGTTTTACTCCAAATTGTCCATCTAAGGATGATGCTGGGAGGCACAATCCTCTCTCCCTCCATCCTCTATCGTCAAATCCCCAATACTCAAATCCTTAATAAACCACTAGAGGCAAATTACAATTAGCCATAGGCGATTTTCATTCCGAATTGTAGATTCGAATGGAAAAGAACGAGCAAGAAACTCTATGACTAGGGTGATCAGAATTTCTTTTTGTCTGCCATCACTATAATAAAAACTCTATCTTCTTTTTCAGGTTCATGCCTACCAGTTGGTTTGATAGACGTCACAGATTGTTACTACGGATTTCCAATTGCTCTCTCCTATCCTCATTTCTGGAAGGGAGATGAAATACTTTCGAGCAAAGTTGAAGGCCTTACTCCGAACCCTGAGCTCCATGAGACTGCGTAAGTAAACATGGTCTTTTGTTCTTTAGTATCTCTGTAGGATCTGTTTCATCTTTTCCACTTTTTCCACCTTCAAACAAGTTCATACAGATAACGCATACAAATTGAGTTGTATATTAAAATTTACTCGTGCCATTAAGGTTAGCCATCCAATGTGAAACAGACCCTCGTCTACATTAACAGCTGCATCATCATAATCACTTCCATAATCTCCACCTACATAATTGCTTCCATCATCATCCTAGTCAGCTATATTATCATCTAAATAATTACTTACATCATTAAGTCGTTGATTGCCGACTAGTAACTGACCGAGGGCAAATCCTCTGCTAGCGTGGCTTACTTAGTGTCGCCCATAGCCGCGTTTAACGTGTTAATTACTATGTCATCTACATAAGCACCATCATTAGGTTAGTAAAAATCATTATCATCATTGCCAACACTATCAAAATCTTCATACTCATGAGCAGCTACATCGTCTGCATTCACATTATCTTTATGCTTTTTCTGTATCCATGTACTTTCACAAGACAATGTTTTAAAAATATAAGTCTAATGTAAACTTGATTTCTTTCCAGATTCTGGATTGAACCCGAGTCTGGTCTACCTCTGGACGTCAGTTCCAAGTTCCAGATCAACATGGCACTTGGAGACATCTCTTCGATCAAGAATGCTGAACGATTCTCCAACATGTACCTTCCACTGCTGTGGTTTGATATTGTAAGTTTTGAACAGAATTTCGTTTTCTAGCTCAGCTTATCAGAAATCTTAAAAAGATAACTTTATTAGTAATTGTAAAAGTTTGGGATCAGCCGGGTGTGTGCAAGTGTAATAAAATGTAAATGGGGTGGTTTTTAGTCAGTAAAAGTCTGACATTCCCCCTCGCTAGTCAGTAAAAGTCTGACATTCCCCGTCGTCTTATGACGTGCGGGTGAAGATGACTAATAATCATCCTCCCTCAAAAAACTAAGTATTGGGTATCTTTAAATGCCTCATCATTACTTGTAATTACAATTTAGCTTATCAATTGTGTGCTTCTTCTACGGCAGGAAAGCATATTAACCGAAAACATCTATCATAAATAACCAATTGTAGAATCAAACTGAAGACCCGGCTCCCTAACCACAATCCATAAGGTTATCCAAGCAGTTTTTCTATAAACCATTTTTTTTATCCACAGACTATGAACGCCCTTCCACCATCAATGAAACAACGCTTCGGTTTATACCTGAACGTCTTACCACTAGTGGAACAAGGAGCCATGTACCTCCTCTTCGTGACCGGAGCCATCTTCATATTATCAACAGTCTACATCCTAACCTTCAAAATAATGTTCAGGAAACAACAAAACTTCGATCAATGGAAAGAGAAAGAAGGCATCTACGCTCCTTGCGAAGTCCCACTAAGCGATACTGATATCGAATCCGACAATAAACATTCCATTTTGAAAAATCATAGCGAGAAACTTAAAGATTTGAGTACTAAGTTCAGTGATAAAATGTATGATACAGTTGGTAGTGTGAAAGACAGAGTTGTCGAAGAACTGCAACATGTTAAAAACGTCTTCGAGAGACGAAGTTCCAAACATGTTGAAAATGATTTTAAAAATGATAATAATCATTATACAGCTATCAAACAAAGTGACAGTGACTCTGATGATTGTAAATATCTTGAAGTGCTTGATGATGGATCAGGTCTGGTGCCAACCAAATTCGAAACTGAACGGTCTGAGAAATTGAAAGAAATGGACTCAAATGATAGGAGGTAGACTTTTGGAGACGATTTTCCTGGTTTTAGCCATATACGTATGTAGATGTGTTGATGCATAGCCTGTGACTGGAAAAATCCATCTCTGGAGCGGATTTTTCAAGAGTGAGAAATGGTGTGGATGTTAAAGAAGCGTTCGAAATACGTACGAATTTAAATATCTTTACTGTGAATGTAAAGATTAAGAAAATCTTGCCATGGTTACGACTGATACTTTTAGTTGCATAAATGAAACCGTAATTTCTTTTTATTTTTATTTAGTTTTTTAATTTGTCCAATTTTTATTTTATGAAAATAAAATACAGTAGTATTTTTCCTATTAAATAATAATGCTGGTTAATATTTGAAAGGGTGGGGTCGTTGATAGTTTTCCATAGTTTTATGTCTGGGAGTTGGATTTATTAATAACTTTCAGATTTACAGTAATAATTATTACAATGAACGAATTTATTTCGTTATAAGACTACATACATCTATGAATTGCAATTTTTTTTATTTTATTCTTCATAATTTCAATTTGCATATATCCCCCTACAACAATTTTAACATAAGCATGATTTTTTAATTTGTAGATAATGGTATTTACGTTATTTTATTATTTCCTCATAAAAATAAAATAGTGAAAAGTGCCTACTTAAAGAATTAGAAAAACAGTTGAAATGTTCAAATTATTGCGCATTTAATAAAAGATGAACTGTCCTCATTTTCTATTAATGAATAAATTATTTTGTGCGCCAGTGAATTCCAAAATAATTAAAGCTCAAAATAATTTAATATGTACATTCCATTATTGTTATAAGACTTTCTGCTTGATTAAGAAATGACATTAGATATTTAAGTTCTAATTATAAATTATAAGTAAAAGCATTTTTTTATATAGAAAGTTCTATTAATTAAATGTAATATTAGATCTGAATGATAAATAAAAATTATGTCAATTATATTATTATTAGTTAGTTTTCCGCCTGAGGATTTTTCTATTTGACTTGACAATGTTATTAATATCAAAATTATTTTATAATTTTTAGCTTCAGATAAAAATAGTGAGAAATTCAAATAATTTGTTGATCAAAAGACATACTGTAAATAATATCATTTTAATTCCTAAACAAACATGTTTGCTCAAATAAAATATTCCTTTTTATATATGTATAACCGTAACTACCTTTTTGCCTTACAAACTAGTCTAAGTTAGATTTTAAAATATATAGATTTAAGTTTATGTGTGCCCTGTCTATCAAGAAATCTAAAAAACAACTTTGAAAAATAAAGTATATGGTCTATTTTACAATGTCTGCATGAGTTGATGAAAAACACGCGAATTGTCGATCATTGTGAAATAGATCAATTAGGGCTGATTTTTCAATAGACAGATAAATGTTTTCTGGAGAATAAAATTGTTGCTGTCACTGTCTTATACAAACATTCTGACGCGACAGCATCATCATTATTCCCCAGTTAACTTTTATCTAAACATTGAAAAATCAGCCCTATAATGCGTTTCGGAGTACAATAAAGCTTTTGAATTTTGCCAGTTTTTTGAAAAACTGTAAATACACCAGTTAATGCTAATATGTATTTTTATAAAAATTGGAAACGTCAAAGAAAATTTAGACAACTGATGGAAAAAGGGCATTCCAGGCCTTAATCATAAGGCCATTAAGTTATTTTCTTTATAAGAATTCTTGGTCATGTATTGGTAAGTTATGAGTACAAGTTGGGCCTTATTATAGGCCTTTAGCCCGTACATTTAGGCCTGAGCCTAATTACCAACTCATGTTGTGATATTTAATGTATAAAAATGTATTTATGAAATTATAAACGATATTAATTTTGTTTGCTGAATAATAATACATATTTAATAAATTATAATTTTACCTCCAATAGACAATTAAATAACAAAAAATACATTATAACAGGTTTAACCTTTAAAGAAAATAAAATAAAATTTTGTGTCAATAAATTTAAATTAAACTTAATTAATTTATTGCCAAAATTATTATTCAGCCAACGAAGAATGATAATAAAATGAATTATTTTAAAAAAAATGTGAAGTAAATAAATAATTATTATTTTCAATAATAATAATACCTAATAAATAGTTAAGCAAAAAGTATTCTCTTTACGTTTGGTACTTGGTCTACTGTTTTGTAAATAATTAGCGACTTATTATTGAAAATAAATGAATAAGATTTATTCAAAACATTGTTTTTTCTTATTATTCCCCAAACTTTTTAGTAACAAAATATATGGACTACTGGTGACTCCATCGTCTCTACCATTTGAGAGATGATCTTGAGCCACCGTAAGCGCGGGTCTGCGTACGGCGGGTAAGGGTATATGTGGGTAACCACCACAGACCCTAAAGGGCTGATGTTCAGCCTGGATTGAGGGGCAAGCGCAATGCGCAATTAAATGAGGCACCGGGACTTCGGCCCAGAGCAATAGATGGACGTAAACAAAGACTAAACGTCTTACGACTAGACTAAACGTACTAAGAGTCTGACATCTCGCCCCACCCGTGGCTGGGGAAGTCATTTGATGATTTTTCCCTGGAAAAATCTCTACTATTATCAACACTCCGTGAAGTTTGCTGGATTCCTCTACTATTTTAAATGTTTAATTAGAAATTATTAGTCCAGATTTCCTCGCTATGTTTTCCTTCACCGTTTGTCAGTGGTGCTAAATAATCATAGAAAGTACATGTAACTCGGGCAAGTCACATTACTTGGTGTTTCGAACCCGCATTCTCATGCATGAGATGCGGGCAACCGCCACGTATCCATACGAATATACCAACTAATTAACAGTAGAATAATTAATAGATAAATATAATTCCAATCTGAACTGCACGGTTGATGCGGTGGCTGGGCAACTGGCTGCCGCATCGGGTTCGATTCCCGTCGTACGGGTCAATTCTTGTGTGATGTAAGTAAAGGATAAAGTCAACATATTAACATTGTCAAATGGCTTTAAATAAACAGTACAAACAGACGGATTACCTGATGGTAAGCAATCAGCGCTGCCCATGGACACCTGAACAAAAGAGGAATAACGTGCGTTGCCGGCCTTTTGGGGATTAGAGCTGTTGCCAAGGGATGGGGGAGAGGAAGAATTAAGAAAAACTTTCAAGTCAAAAAAAAAACGTCTGAACAGATTTTAATAAAACTTGTACTCAATATTTTGTCTGCGTAGTTATTTTGCACGATATCTCGGCTACTGGCTGCATGCCGCCCAACGTGACGCCGGTTAGATTCCCGCACGGAACAACTCTTTGTGTAATTGGTATATTGATTTTCCGGGTCAAGATATCTTGTGTAAGGTTGTATATTGTAAACGCATACACGACACAGGAAAAATGCAAGAGTGGTATAATTAGCACGTGTGACGTGAAAAACTTAGAAATAAATTTTCTTTTGGTCTATAGGCGAGCGCGGAACGCTACGCGCCTTACAGTCGTGATTTTTACCTTGAAATGCTCTTAAAGGGATTTAGCAGAATCTTTTTAGGTTTATCAGAGACCGCTAAATGATATGTCAATTATGTAGATAGTATCATATAAAGAGAACGAAGAAAGAAAGAGAAAATATATATGTCAGAGTATAGTAGAAATATAGGTGTTTTGTGTTAATTGGTGTACAAAATATTTTTCGGAAAACTATGAATAAATATTTTTTTAAATGGTAGCCCACATCAAATTCTATTTTTTATTTTATTTAGTTAGGTAATATTTTACTATGATTAATACTGTTGTTCTACCTATATTAATTTAATTAGTTCTAGTTTTAATTTCTATATATTTTGACTGTATAACAGCATAATTTTTAGAATGTTAGTTAGCTCGTAACTGGCTAGTGTATATGACCCACTGCCTATAACCAATACTTTAAACCACTTTGTATACATAAGCTGTGAGCGTACCTTATAATAATAAATAAATAAATATAGGCCTCTAGCATGGCTTGAAACTAGTCGAGTATCAAAAGTCAAAAATCATTTATTCCAATTAGACCTTTACAGGCACTTTTGAACGTCAAACAAAATTTAGAAGATATAGTGTCAGTCTGTAGTCTAGTGAGTATCTAGTCAAATTATTACGTGAGTAAGCCAAAAACATAATAATTGCTTAACATGTGCTTGTAACTATACACACACTTACACATTAGGCTCTTTTAACACAAGTGGGAAAAGGAACAAACAAAAAAAAATATTGAAAAATTAATCTTTAATCATAGTAATAAAATATTAGAAATTATTTACATAACTAATAAATAAAAGTACATTAGAACAGATTACTTTCTATTCCAAACAGCTGTACGAGCTTCATACAAACCCACCAAAAGACCACAGCATGGAATATTATCTGGATAGTCTGGTCTAGGATCATCATCCTGAAAAAGAAATACCATGACTTAAAATCAAATCTATACTAATATTATAAAGTTTGTAATGTTTGTAAGTTTGTATGTAGGGGGTAATCCTTTGAACCGCTGGTCGGATTGCCAAAATTCTTTCAGTGATCGATAGCTACAATGTTCCTGAGTGCTATAGGCTATAAAACATGACGCTCCGATCAAATGGAGCCGAGCAGCGGATGAAACCGCGTGAGAGTAGCTAGTTGAATATAACTTGGTTGTTTTCTTGGACGGCAAATGAGTAGACGGATTACCTGATGGTAAGCAATCAGATCAATATCTGACTGATAGGAAATGCCGACTTCATCTAGTAATGTTTTTGGCTTACTCACGTAATAATTTGACGAGATACTCGACTCGAGGAGTTAGGAGTACATTGCCGATCTTTTGGAGATGAGGGATTTGGAGATTTAAGGGTTGGGGGAAGGGAATGACGAGGTCTCCGATAACCTCACACTCACACGGCAAAAACAACGCTATGGTTCGTTTTAGCCGGTCGTTTATGAGACAGTGGTATGTCCCCGGTCGAGCAGACCCATTTGTGTCGAAGCATGGCTCTCCCATACATTAAAACCAGTAAATACCTTTTACAATGAGCCCTGGCTTTGGGGATATCTTCATCTTTTTCCTTTAGAAGGAACTTCCTGCCTCCCAAGCAGCATTTTGTGAAGTACTCCACCAGGTCAGTCGTCTCCAAGTCGTAGTAGAACTGCTTCACATCAGAATGTTTCAATACTGATCGGAGTTGCACAAAGTTTGTGTTGTCAAATGTCCATTGCTGGGTTAGATAGTAACCTAGAGCGAGGTTCGCTATGTAAATGCGGCGTTGTATCTTGACCAGCCTGTAAAAATTGTTTATAAGTAGATGAGTTTTTACGACTTTTAAATGGTCTATCGATTCAGGTGATTAACTAAAAGTCAATCTTTTAAATTTGTTAAATAGTAGTTAATGAAAAACATATTTTTTTGATAAAAATACATACCTACGAACATTGTTTACATTTAGTTAATTAACCAAAATCCCTACCCATCTTATGATCTATAAGATTTGTTCGAAAATTATTTATGTAAAAAATTAATTAAATCCACAAATAATTTTCTGTACTATCATAAATTTAGTTACTCAAAAGATTAATTTTAATAATTAATTTTTTATGTAACTTAACTTTTATAATATTTAGTTACAAAGACAACATACCATAAAAAAGTCAACTATGTCCTGTGTCAATTAAAATTTCCAGTAGGTATCTCTAGATATCACAGTTCCTGAGATACAGCCTGTTGGCATAAAAACGGACAGAGCTAACTAATAGGGTCCCCTTCTGACCCTCTAACAAAAAACAAAACAAAAAACTCACATAGGTTTCTTCCCAATCAGCCAGAGAAGTGTATCCACCAGAATGGCTGGAAGTAAATGCTGTGCCAAAACCTGGAAATTAAAATTATAAATTACAATCATACTATACTGCACATGCAATGACTGCACGGTTGGTGCGGTGGCTGAGCAACTGGCTGCCGTGCAACGTGTCGCGGGTTCGATTCCCGCACGGAACAACACTTTGTGTGATCCACAAATTGTTGTTCCGGGTCTGGGTGTGATGTGTATGTGAAATTGTATGTTTGTAACTGTGATGATGTAAAATTCTAATGTGGGGTAACGTTTAATAAAAAAAACTCAGTATGAGACAAGCCCGTCATAACCTTCCAAAGCCGCTGCAACTCCTGTGAACCAGGATCTACAGTAGATACAACCATGAAAACACCGGAACACTGAAGTCCGGCGCGTCCCAGGGACATAAATGACTGACTTGGATGCCGCAACAAAAAATTACAAGATATTATTTGTGGAGAAGCACTTCCCTCGGTAAATTTAATGCAGGATGACTTAAGCCCTAAAGGCACAAACTCCTTGCTAAGGTTTTAATTGTAGCCGGGGTTGCGGGTAAGCGCAATGAGGCACCGCGACCTCGGCACAGAGCAGGAGAAGGAACAGGGGGGGTTTTAGTCAGTAAGAGTCTAACACTTCCGAGGAGAAGAAATTTGATGATTTTCCACTCACAAAAAAAAAGGTTTTAATTGTATAATTTTTTGATTTATAGCATTTTAATTGGTTTACGGGTATACTTGGAGATAGTATTTTGATTTTTTGGTGAAATTATATTATAATGTAAGGAACCCAGTATTTTAAAACAGCAGCGTTTGGAGCGACAGCTAGACTGGCTGACTGACGCAAATCAAGTATAATTTGTAGCCTATAGCACTTATGCAAATTGTAGGTCTCTATCAATGAAAGAATCTTGCAAATCTGACCAGTAAGTGGTTCCAAAGATTAGGTACACCCTACATACAAACTTACAAATTTAACCTCTTTATAATATTAGTATAGACTAGCTTCTTTTTCGCGGTATTGCCCGCTGCTCCATTAAATCGTAACGTGATGTTTTATAGCCTATAGCACTCAGGAACATTGTAGCTATCTATCAGTGAAAGAATTTTGGCAATCCGACCAGCGGTTCCAAAGATTACCCCTACATACGAACTTACAAATTTTACCTCTTTATTATATTAGTATAGAGTATATATTTGCGTATTTTAGTTGAGCTATCGCTTTAAACGCTGCTGCTGAAAATCCCGGGATAGGAACATTATACGCGTGCCAGCGGTAGCTACTGAAGTTACTGTTTGCTGTGCCCATCAGGGTCCATGATTGTTACCATATTATTCATATTACCATCTTACCTTACATTGTGGATGCAATAAAGAATTATGATTATGATTTTTTTTTACTTGCAATAAACTAGTGCTTGACTGCGATCCCACCTGATGGTAAGCAGTGATGCAATCGTTGATGGTAAGGCGCACTAGTTTATTAAGAGCCTATTCACTCTAGCCTTGAAGACACCTAAGAATAATGAGCTAATATATAACAAGAACTTCGGCTGCTGGCTGTGTCGCGCGCGCGCACTAACTTACTAGCCGAGGCGCCACTGACGCGCGCGCTCCGCACTCTCAACCATATCACCAATGAAACCGACATATTCGTCTGTACTCTGAGTGAATTCACAAGGATAGCTTTGTTTGTTATATGTTATAAAACTGTAGTCAAGCAAGGATATGTAGATATTATTGTTTAGGCATATAAGCTAGGCTATTGCATTAGGCACAAAACCTGTAAAAATAATCTAAGTTTTGGAAAATAAATAAATAAAACTTACTTACCTTCAAATAATGGTACACTGGGTTGGTCGTAATAGTGCCACCAGTATGCCACAGCATATCATCCAGTGGAATTTCTTTGGAGACATGTTTGGACATCTCCACCAAATCACCCATCAACATGTTGTTAAGTTTTCCGGAACAACAATTGTATATTTCAATGTCATCTGTGGGCTCCAATCTAAGAAAAAAAAAGTTTTTTTTTTTTTATATAGATATTATGAGCGAATTGGCTTCGCACGGGTTCAATGCTAATACTAAATTTCTAGAAGTTTTAATGGATGTTATAAATAGTTATAAGTACATATAAAACTTGCTCTTCAATCAGTCTATATAACATTAGAAAAACCGCATCACAAGTCAAAATATTTTTTTAATGTGATAGTATTCATCAAAGGAATAGACTGTTTACCTAAGCAATCAGCACAAGGACAGACGAGTTATGAGTGCGTTGCCCACATTTGGTTTGGGCCTCCGGTGACCTCACTCACACGGTGAAACAACGCTGAGGTTGTTTCACGTCGGTATTCTCTGAGGCCGTGGTATCACTCCAGTCGAGGCGACCCATTCGTAGCAAAGCATGGCTCTCCCACACTTCATTTATTCCAAATTAACCATAAACAGGTACTTTTGAAACGTCAAGTCTTTTAGTCTGTCAGTAAGTTCGTCAGTGAAGCTAGGTGCTCGTTCCAAAGTGTAGATTCTGATGAATGGAGGAGAACGAGCAAGAATCTCCATCGCTACTCTTTTAAAAGATAATGTTTTACAGGCTCACTGGTACAATATTTTATACCCATATGTGAGAACAATGCAGAGACCAATTTGTTTAAAAAAACGCGTCAAAATCCGTTGCGTGGTTTTAAGAAATGTAGTCACAGCGAAAGCGACTTTGTTTTATACTGCGTAGTTAATTTAAATAGAATATAACCTATTTAAAGGAATGCAATTTTTGTCTAAATTGTATGTTTATGAAATATAATTTATTTAGAAAGTGTCTTTTTGAACTCATTTATTAATTTACACAATTAGACGAAATTGTGTTAGTTAGCAATCGTAATTAGAACATTTATTGCTATTATTTTTCTGCAGGCGCTACCTTAAATGGTTTAAATTGTGAGTTATATCAAGTAAGTGAGTAAAGAAAGACACACCGAACCGAATTTATAATGATTCATTCATATATGAAGTGTGGGAGAGCCATGCTTCGGCACGAATGGGTCGGCTCGACCGGAGTGATACCACGGCCTCACAGAAAACCGGCGTGAAATAACCACTGCGTTGTGTTTCGCCGTGTGAGTGAGGTTACCGGAGGCCCAATCCTTCCCCTTCCCCAATCCCTCCTCAATCCCTAATCCCTGAAAGGTCGGCAACGCACTCGTAACTCCACCGTTGCGAGTGTCCATGGGCGGCGCTGATTGCTTACCATCAGGTAATCCGTCTGCTCGTTTGCCGACCTATTACATAAAAAAAAAAATTATAATAATTTGTATGAAAGAACCATGCTTCCATGGAGTGATACCACGGCCTTACAGAAAACCGGCGTGAAACAACGTTAACGTTGATATTCGCTGGCTGAGTGAGGTTGCCGGAGCCCCATTCTCTTCCACAGAGTTGTTCTAACTCCTATGGTGTTGCTGATGTCCATGGGCCGTGCGATTGCTTACCATCAGGTATCCATGATAATACGCTCACTCATTCAGCAAACTCAAAAGTATTAGTTGTAAAAATATAATTTTACCACATTTCTATTGTTTTCAATATCTTTTATAGTAACTGTGTCAAATTATTCGTGTGTTTTCAACTTTACAATGTCATATATTTTTGTGAACCACTTAAATAAAATAAAAATAAACAATATAATGTCAACAGATAAATAAATAAATAGACATAAAAAACATACGGTTTCGTTCCCCTAATCCAAGCTCCAGCAATAATATTCTTGGCACAAACATCCACAGGTATGAAATCACAAATTATATCCGGTTTCGTGTGAATTGTTCTCATAATACCTAAAAAAAAAAAGAATTTATTAAAAAAAAAACCGAAAAACATTTCCAAAAGATGTTTAAAACTAACAAAAAGGATCTCTCCGGCGGGGAATCGAACCCCGGTCTCCCGCGTGACAGGCGGGGATACTGACCACTATACTACCGAAGACTTGTTTACAGCTGTCGAAATTATGGTTTATAACACCCAACTCAATATGTAAAAGTTTATTTGATATTCTTTTTTCCTAAAAACTACTCAAAAAACAATAATAAAATACAAAAAGTATTAAATTAAATTTAACAATGAAATTGAAGTCATTCTTGTCAATAACCCTAATGAGCGAACAACAAACTGAATACAGCGCCATCTATGTTTGAAACATAGCACTTCTTAACCTTGAGTAATATCAACTTTGCACAAAGCAATGCTAACTCTTAATTAATATTTTGTGCATGCTTCATAATTTCATATTATATATATTTAAAATAAATAAATATCCAACAAATATAAAGAAATATCAAGCAAACAACTGTTTTACCCCGTAGGGACGTGATATTTACAATTTGTATAAGGTTGTTGTAAGTACGCCATCTATCGGTCATAATTGCAAACAAATTTTAAATGCGACAATATTGTTATGCTATGTTATATTTTCAAATTGTTATAGATTTGAAATGCAATAGTAATACCTTTTCCACACGCCACAAATATTCCAACGGGACCATTGAAGTTCTCTATCCATCCAGGAATTGGTTCCTCTACACTTGAAATGACTGGAAATAAAAAAAATAATGATTAGATTTGTACTTAGGTATGGTCACGAGCTAATGTTCACATGTAAACAGCAGCTCATGTAGTGTAGATGTCCAGTCAACAAGGATGTAGCGAGGTTGACTGTCCAGGCGACACACGTACTTAGATATCGTCATGAGCTAATGTTCACATGAAAGCAGCTCATGTACTACTGGAAGGATGCTCCTCACCTATTGAAGGTCTGACGATGATGACTGGAAGCTGTCCTTTGTATTCAGCCACCACATGTTCTGCCAGCTGCTTCGTGAAGGTGTACGTATTTGGGAGTTCTCCAAGGTACCTAATTTATGAAATAGTTTAGTAAGAATATTTAGAATGTAAGTTAATAAGGAATAATTGAACAAATTGCCAAAATCTTGTGCTGCGCAACGTGGCGTGGGTTCAACAACTCACGGAACAACTCTTTGTGTGATCCACAGATTGTTGTTCCAGGTCTGGGTGGGATGTGTTATGTAAAATTGTATGTTTGTAAACGCACCACGACAGAGAAGCGGGAATAGCCCAATCACCGTGTCCGTACAGTTTTTATTAAGAACCTGTCTATATGTGTTATTATAGGTAACATTTCTAAAATAGTTTCTTGCGGGTATTATTACAAAACCTTTGGCAAAACTTACTTCGGAGTCAGCACTCTCATTGTATGCTCATCAGCAGTATCACAGACAGCCAGGGTGTCCCTCCAGTCAGCCAAAGGAGGGTACAAAACCTCTTCAATTGGATCTCTGTTCGTGTTTGAGTACGACGTCGACACGTGGACGACAGACTACAAAAATAAAGTCTTAATTGAATACAGCGCCATCTATTATCAAACTCTCTAAAGCTTGATATGAAAATGGTTACTTCTTGCAACTTAAGATTTCAAATTCAGTACTATTTAAATGAATTATCATTCTGATTTAAAAAAAATATTTTTGTAAGTAGGTAGTTGAAGGAAAAGGCTAATATGAAGCATTTCAGACTTTATAAGGAACGCGAGCGTCCCCGCCGTCGCACGGGCGCAATTCTGCATATTCCTCCACTATTTTATGGATGATTCTATACCTATAAACCTTCCTCTTTAATCACTCTTATCTTTTTCAAAAAGCCGCATCAAAACCCGTTGCGTAGTTTTAAAGATTTAAGCATACATAGGGGTATAGCAAATCGCTTCACTAAGAGGACTGACCGACAGACTGAAACTTAATATCTTAAAAATTTAGTTTGACGTTTAAAAGTGCCCATATGAGTCTTATTGAAATAAATGATTTTGACTTTGACTTTAACTTATAGGGACAGAGAAAGCGACTTTCGTTTTATACTACTTATGTAGTGATAATTATTAACCAAACTTACAGATAAATCTCTGACTTCCTTAGCCAGCTCCATCACCTGCATCGTGCCCCTAAGGTTCATTTGCGCTGCATACTTCAGCGTGTCATCAAACCTGGAATTAAATCAGACTCTTTGTTAAAACCCTTGACAAAATAGACATGCATTGTAAGGTGGAAATAACAGAAACTTTTTTGTCAGTTTTCTTTGTACCTACCTATTTTTTTTTTTTTGAGGTAGTTCGGCAACCGTGCAAGCGGATTACCTGATGGTAAGCAACTAGCGCTGCCTATAGATAGATACCCGTCACAACAGAGAAGTTACGAGTGCGTTGCCTATGCCGTTATGGATTGGGAAGGGGAAAGATTGGGTTTCCGGTAACCTCACTCACACGACGAAATACAACGCTGTGGTTGTTTCACACCGGTTTTCTGTGAGGCCGTGGTATCGCTCTGGTCGAGCCGACCCATTCGTGCCGAAGCATGGCTCTCCCACACTTAGAAGATATTATACATATAGAGAATGTATGTTTACCTGACACTTGCAGCTACATGAAAGATGACGTTTACGCGGTTAACTAGGAGAGCTCTGTCTTCTTGTGATAAACCTGGAAATAGATTTTAAATTATTAAGGTGAGAACTTACTTACTGTTTTTTTTTTCATAACTCTCGTAGGTAATACATTTTAAGTTTATTAAAAACTATCGACCCGTCCCAGCTTCGATCGGATGCGAATTTTTTCCATTATTGAATGGATGTTATTACTTATTATACATATAAACATTCCCCTTCAATAATTCTGTTTATTAAAACCGTATTAAAATCCGCTGTGTAGTTTTTAAGATTTAAGCATACATTTAAGATATAGGGATCGATAAAACGACGCTGTTTTATATTATGTAGTAAAAAGGAAGGTTTATAAGTAGATTATGTATAATAACATCCGTTAAATAGTGGAGAAATTTTGTATCAGCATTCAAGCAATGCTGATACTAAATTTCTTTGGGTTGGTCGCTAGTAAATAATACATTAAGAGTCGAAGACATTACCTAGTCCAAGTTCCAGAACATCACCAGAAACGATGAAGACCTTGGATTCGAAGACTCCTGGCTTTTTCTTCTTGAGACGATCGAAACACTGTATAACAAATAATTAGGTACATTAAAATTAACCTTTAAAAAGAGAAAACTAATTTTTATACGCGTCCAACACTATCGTCATCGTCATCATCATCAGCCTATAAGTCAACTGCTGAGCAAAGGCCTCTTCTCACACTGAGAAGGTTTGAGCATTAATCAATACGCTTGCTTAATGCAGATTGGCGAGTTCTAACTTATAATATTAGAGATTATAAGTCCAGGCAACGACTATCGCAACTGAGGGCCGGGCACGCTGTTATAGCAGCGGTAAGACCCCTCTTTGAGGAGTGGCTTGAGAGACGCCACGGCGTCCTCACCTTCCGCCTGACGTAGGTGCTTACCGGGCACGGCAGCTTTGGTAGGTTCCTGTTTCGGATCCAGCGGGAGGAAACGCCCGAGTGTCGTCATTGTGGAACGAACAGGGGGTTTTTTCATATAGTTAGTAAGAGTCTGACACTCCCTACACTAGGCGAGTGAAGTAATTTGATGATTTTCCCCTCACAAAAAAAGAAGGTTTCCTCGCGATGTTTTCTATTTTTTTTTTTTGTATGTAATAAGTCGGCAAACGAGCAGACGGATTACCTGATGTTAAGCAATCAGAGCCGCCCACGGATACCCGCAACGAGTGCGTTGCCAACCTTTTGGGGATTGGGGAGGGGAAGGATTGGGCCTCCGGTAACCTCACTCACACGTCGAAACATAACGCTGTGGTTGTTTCACGCCGGTTTTCAGTGAGGACGTGGTATCATTCCGGTCGAGCCGACCCACACTTTTTGCACAGTATGTCAGTTTTAACTAAACATAAACGGCAAAGTCATTGTTTCATTATAAACGTATGATACACGATGAAATGCGCACAATAATTATTTATACTTACGACGAAATATTTAACTTTAACAATTACATTATAAATTTTAATTATACAAAAATAACAACGACAAATCAGTGTGTAAGGTGCATTAAGGAAAACTGGATTTTTACATTATAGTAAGGTAGTAACAAATTTTTAAACTACAAAATTTTCAATTTTCGTCTCGGCTTCACAGTCCCAGAAAACCGTAAAGCAGCCACAGCGATGTGTTTCGCCGTGTGAGTGAGGTGACTGGAAGTCCAACCCTTCTTTCCCTTCCAAAATCTCTAAATCTCCGAAATATTAATTCCCCAAAGGCCGGCAACGCACTCGTAATTGCGAAGTTGCTGATGAATATGGACGGCGCCGATTGCTTACCATCAAATAATCTATTTGATAGTTTGAAGCACGACCATCTTAAAAAAATGGGTAAAAGTACCTAAGTAAGTAATCGATACCGCGGAAAGAAACTAGCTAATCTCGATTAACTAAAATTCGCGGGTTACTCACGTGTGAATGTTGAGAAAAGCTCTACTAGTTTCGAACCACAGAGGGGTTCTTCCTCATGAGCAGCGTCCGCGTAACCCGCGAATTTTAGTTAATTTAGTATGTCTCACGATAGTTATTATAAAAACATAGCTAATCTCGCGCGGTTTCATCCGCTGCTTGGCTCCATTTAATCGTAGCGTGATATTTTATAGCCTATAGCACTCGAGAACATTGTAGCTATCCGTCAGTGAAAGAATTTTGGAAATCCGACCAGCGGTTCCAAAGATTACCCCCTACGTACGAACTTACAAATTTTACTTCTTTATAATATTAGGATAGATTTATTGTTTTATGTGATAGGTCGGCAAATGAGGCTACATATCACCTGAAGGTAGGCAATTGGCGTCGCCCTTGTACACCCTCAATACAAGAGAAATTGCAAGTGCGTTGCCGGCCTTAAGAGATAGTTATAAATTTCAAAATTGAAGATATGGGTGTCTTAACAGGATCAGGCCTGCGGTAACCTCACCTACACGGCGATACAAACGTAGGCGTTGTTTCACGTCGGTATTTTATGAAGCCGTTGTCACACTTCGATAAAGTCGACTCATTAGGGCCGAAACGAAAAATGTTTTTGCATTGGTCCATGGGCATCAAACTGAACAAATCCTTGGAGCACTCCCCGTAGAATAGGAAATATAGGACACATAGCGAGGCTAAGCAGTGCCAAAGAGTCCAGCCAGAATGAGACATCAGGGCAGTCAATGATTCGAACGGCTCGTCACTAAATGCGGTCCAGAAAGAAGCTGTTACTGGGCCTTATTACTTAAAGACATTTGATTTGAATTGATACTTACAGGAGTGGCATACAACTGGGCGAGTCTGTCTTCAGATTTCACTCCTTTCTTATTACGCATAAGCAGGTAGATTCTGTCCAGTTCTGAACACGAGTAGAGGAGTTTCTCTATCAGAACCTTGCCGATGAAACCTGAAAAAGAAATGGAAACATATAATAGACAGACGCTAGAAATTATATCATCTTTTTTTCCTTAAATGCATCATCATAGGCCTAAGTGCCCACCGCTGCAAAAGCCGCTTGTCACGGAGAAGGTTTGACAATCAATCACCAAACTGCTCAAGGCGGACTGGTGATTTTAAACTTCTGCTTAGAAAAGCAAGATATCAAGCATGGGAGAACCATTGTTCCACCCGAATGGACCGGAGTAGTACTATAACTTCACAGAAGACCACCTTGACAACACTTGCGTGAACAGTGTATGAATGAGTTTACCGGAAGCCTAACCCTTGCCTTCCGCTTCTCCAGTATCCAATTCCCCAATCCCTTAACTCCTCTGCTATTGTGGCTGTCGATGAATCCATGGGTGGCACCGATTGCTTACCATCAGGTAATCCGTTTTTTGTGGATCATAAAAAATCTGGATCGATCGATCAAGTGATTGCACTTACCAGAACCTCCGGTGATAAAAATAGTCTTTCCCTTGTAGAACTCCGGGATGGAAGGCACCTCACACAAATCCCTTTCTTCTAGGAAACCCATGGTGCTGGCAGACAAGAGTTAATTATAACTGAAAAGAACAAATTATTATTATCATCAGCCTGTTTTCTTCCACTGAAGACCAAAAGGGGCACGACGGAGTAAGTATTTTGTTTCGCACAGTTATTCAAATGTAGTGTGGATCAGCTTGACCGGGGTGATACCACGGCCTGCTAGAAAAATTAAGTATAACAACGACAGCGTTGTGTTTCGCCATGTCAGTGAGGTTACCGGAGGCCCCATCCGTCCCCATCACTTCCCAATAACTAAAATCCCTGATTCCCATCATGATGATGATGGCAAACGAGCAGATGGAAAACCAATCGCAACATTAGAGGAGATCTTGTTAGGCTTTTTGAAGGTTAAAGATTAAAGTAATTGGGGAAAACCATGATGTCAAGCTCAAGCATGGGAGAGCCATTCTTCCACCCGGATGGACCGGTTTCGGGTATTGAAAATGGGGAAAAGAAGAAAATTAGACTTCCAATAGCCTCAATTACACGACGAAATGCAACATTTTTGTTATAGAGGTGAATATCATCATAGTCATTCTCTTCCTTTGGAGTGTACCTTCCTATACCTTCTCCTGCTTCAGCTGGAGTCCACAATACATTATTCCACTTACTCCGTAACCCTGGCTAAAGAGATACAAAGGTTGTGCTTGTTGCAAGCAGTTTTTTTGAAAGACCGTGGTATCACATCGGTTGATCTGGTCATTTTATAGGAAGCCGAAGGTCGTGGTCGTGGTGACCCGGAGGTTAAGGCGCCTGCTTCTCCTGGCAAGTATTAATATGACTTTTACTGAGTTATATGTACTTTCTATGATTATTTAGACACCACTGGCCACTGACGTTCGTTGAAGGAAAACATTGTTAGGAAACCGGAGCTATATCAAAACTTAATAAATATTATAAATGCGAAAGTAACTCTGTCTGTCTGTCTGTCTTTTACTTCACGCCTAAACTACTGAACCGATTTCTGTGATATTTGGTACAGACATAGTTTTTATACCAAAAATCTGCAGAAAGTCACTATTCCACGTTAACGGAGTCGCGGGCAAAAGCTAGTCTAATTATAATTTTGAAATTGTCAATCTGTCTTGAGCAAGCGTAGTGATTAATGCTCAAACCTTCTCCGTGTGAGAAGAGGCCTTTGCTCAGCAGTGGGCTGGCAGGCTGATGATGTGATTTCGCCGAAGTATGCCAAAATTTTTTATGGTATCAGTGCATGTAAAAGTCGTTTTCATTATAATTAATTTTATACATTTATTTTAAAATATGTGTAACATATGTATGTGTAGTTACACAGGTCATTTGGAACATTATAATAGAAAAACATTACAATTTAAAAAAAAAAACGACACTAAATCAAATAAATTCTTGTTCTACGCATTCGGCATAAAGTTTACAATTGAATGAAAAATAAATTTAGATGTAAAAAAATGTCTCAAGCACAAAGTTTTTTTTTCAATGTTATAGGTCGGCAAACAAGCAGGCGAATTACCTGATGGTAAGCAATCAGCGCCGCCCATGGACACTCGTCATACTAAAAGAGTTATACATATACTACAAGTGCTTTTTACGGCCTCTCGTGGGCTATTAGAGATTTAAGGATGGTAGAGAATTTGGGGCTTAAGGTTGGGAGAAATGGATGGAGGGAATTGGGCCTCCGGTAACCTCACTCACTCGGTGAAAAACAACAGGTCTTCTGTGTGACCGTGGTATCACTCCGGTAGAGCCGACACATTAGTGCCGAAGCATGGCTCTCCCACACTTTTTTAATTAACGTAATGTATAAAGTGTGGGAGAGCCATGCTGAGTGTGGGAGAGCCATGCTTCGGCACGAATGGGTCGGCTCGACCGGAGTGATACCACGGCCTCACAGAAAACCGGCGTGAAATAACCACAGCATTGTGTTTCGCCGTGTGAGTGAGGTAACCGGAGGCCCAATCCTTCCCCTCCCCCAATCCCTCCTAAATCCCTAAATCTCCAAATCCCTAATCCCTAAAAGGTCGGCAACGCACTCGTAACTCCTCCGTTGCGAGTGTCCATGGGCGGCGCTGATTGCTTACCATCAGGTAATCCGTCTGCTCGTATGCCGACCTATTATATATAAAAAAAATGTATTGTATTAATTGGCATATCTTATTAAAAACAGCATTTCCTTACACTTGGACTTTCTCCTGTGACGTGGGTGCACGCATTCGTTACAAGCATAGAATTTTACATACACAATGATAACACGTGTCTATCCATACTAATATTATACAGAGGTAAAATTTGTAAGTTTGTATGTAGGGGGTAATCTTTGAAACCGCTGGTCGGATTGCTAAAATTCTCGCACTGATAGCTATAATAGCTACAATGTTCCTGAGTGCTATAGGCTATAAAACATCACGCTACGATCAAATAGAGGCGAGCAGCGGGTGAAACCGCGCGAGACTAGCTAGTGTTAAATATGTTGGTAAGCGCATATCTCGACAACGTCTGGACCAATTTTGATATTGTTTTTGTTTGCTGCGTTTGTTATTGTCAGGAGAAGATTCTTAAGACTGACATTTGTTAGGAAAGTAGAGGGGAAATTCGGGAAATAGTCACTGGGAAACCGTGCAACGCAGGAGGGCGGGGGGGGAAGGGGTTTGTACTAAAAAAAATAACAGCATTTTATTAAGAGTAGAATAATTAGCATTGCAATTAGTATCTCGCCCTGGCGGGTGAGGTCATTTGATGATTTTCCCATCATAAAAAAAAATGGATAAAAAATTGAATCAAACAAAAATATTTATATTGATAATGAACCGCGCCCTCCCTGGAGGAGGAGAAGGTGACTCTCTTTCTGACTGAAAACAACATTTTAAGTCAGACTGAGTCTGACTGAGAAAAGCAATTTGATGATTTAACCCCTCTCAAAAAAAAGTAATATTGACTAAACACAAAAAAATACATAATGAAAAAATGTTACTTACATTTGCAATTAATATTACTATTTAGAACCAAACGATTCTAAATATAAAATTTGAAAATTTAATAAATCCAAAAACACATTCACTACACAAATATCCACAGTCAAATGAACAGACAATAGTTTTCCAACAAAAAAGTATTATATACGATCACAAATTTACAAATGCATACGGACAAAAATGAAACTAAATCACTTTTTGAAATAAATTTGCACTAAAAATATCCCCCAAAACGACAGCAGCGCCACGTTGAAGTGCACTGTTAAGTTTGTTTGGATAGTTTTTTTTAAATGCTTTTTATATAAATTTGAAATTTAAATGCCTCGTCCCGGTTGTATGGGCTTGAGGGCAAAAGTTAACGCTTTAATTAATATGTCGACGGATATATGTAGCAGAGATTTAAGGGGAAGAACACATTTCTAAAGAACGTGTTGAATTTATTTTATACATTTTAAAGCGCTGTACCTACTCAGTGTATGTACCTACTACTTACCTTTATATTTCTACCTTAATTTCGATTTGTTAACTAGTGACTCGATAGATGGCGTTGTGTTAAAATTCTCCGTGGAACTAAAACCTGTCCGGGGAAAATCTACAAATGGCTTCTCCAGCCCAGGGTAAGGCGAGAGAGAGTGTCACACTCTTATTGACTAAAAACCCCGTTCCTTCTCCTGCTTTAGGCCGACGCCGTGGTGCGTTATTGCGCTTACCCCGAAACCCCGGCTGAACATCGGCCCTGTAAGGCTTCGTCTGTGGTGGTCTATTGGATCTTTGAGGCGCGAGCGGAACGCTCAGGTTCTGGTCGGGCATAGAACTACCCTTACTCGCCATCCGCCGACCCCTCGATTACGGTGGCTGCAGATCGTCTCTCAATCCTCGATGCCCGGAGTGTCGACTTCTGCGGCGGATGGGGCGTGAGGAGGAGGATAGCTACCTCACGCGCACCGGCTCCTTTGGGAGCATAACTACTTTACAAAAGAGGTAACAGCTTCCCAGTTTCTCTCGTACCGCACTGTAGCCTATCGTCACATAGTCTAAGAATAGCTACTATCTCTGCACTGATTCAGTATTTATTTTCTTTCCTACATAAAATAACTACGCAGGTTTAAATGTGATCATTATATACCTACATCTTTGGTAAAAAAGAAGTCTTTACACTGAGCCTTCAAACTATAAAGAGAACCCACTGCAACCATTTTGATTGTACTACGCCTTCTCGGCCTTCAGAATAGAAAGATAACCCACTATAACAATGTTGTTTGTACTGTGCCTTCCTTAGCCTTTAAAATAGAAAGAGAACTAACTAGAACAATTTTTATTGTATTGCGCCTTCTTAGCCTGCAAAATGATATCCCACTATAACAATGTTGTGTGTACTTAATAGAGCTTCTTAGCCTACAAATTAGAACGAGAACCAGCTAGAACAACTTTGTGTGTAATGGGCCTTCTTAACCTTCAAATCAGAAACATAACCCACTATAACAATTTTGTGTGTAATGGGCCCTCTTAGCCTTTAAAGTAGAAAGAGCACCCACTAAAAATACATTATTATATTTGACTGAACGGTTGGCGCAGTGTTTGGGAGCCTCGACTCTTAGTGTGATCCAAAAGTTGTTTTTTCGGGACGGGGTGTGACGTCAATGTGAGATTTTATGTTTGTAAACGCACCTACGACGGAGGCGAAAATCTTAGCGTGGGGCAATGTAAAAAATAATAATAAAACAACAAAAAAAATTAGGTACTATACGCCTTCTTAGCCTTCAAATCAGAAAGAGAACTGCCTAGAACAATTTAGTTAGCTACTAGGCCTTAACATAAAATTAATATTGTAAGTAAAAGTGCAAGCAAGGGTATCTTTATTCATGAAATGTAACTGGGTATTCTATGTAACTAGCTTCGTTCTTCGGTTCTGCTCGTAACTCGTATACTTGAGTGTAGAAGAGCCATGCTTCGGCACGAATGGGTCGGTTCAACCGGAGCGATACCACGGCCTCACAGAAAACCGGCGTGAGACAACCACAGCGTTGTGTTTCGCCGTGTGAGTTAGGCTTGTCTCTGCATTGTTCTCACATAGGGGTACAGTAATGTGTAAAAAATGTATTATTGGTGAATTAATATTGAAATAATATTGGTAAAACAAATATTTTTTTAAAAAGAGTAACAATGGGGTTTCTTGCTCGTTCTTCTCCATTCGAAACTACAATTTGGAACGAGCACCTAGCTTCACTGACGAGCAGACTGACAGACTGCTATTCTATTTTGACGTTTCAAAAGTACCTATTTATGTTTTAGTTGGAATAAATGATTTTGATTTGATTTGATTTGATTTGCTTCCTTAGGCCTAATCTTTCCCCCCGCCCCCACCCTCGTTTGCCGTCATAACATAAAAAAACTTAACTATTTAATAAAATGCAGCAGTTTTACAACTGCTCGGCTCCATTTTGATTGTAGCGTGATGTTTTATAGGCTATAGCACTCAGGAATATTGTAGCTATCAATAAGTGAAAGAATTTTGGCAATCCGACCAGTGGTTTCAAAGATTACCCCCTACATACAAACTTACAAATTTTACCTCTTTATAATATTAGTATAGAAAAGTAATGAAATATTACAAAGTCGTGCCAAGTTTAAGATTCCTTATTGCGCAATTTCGTTAATGTTGTGTGGCTTGGCCGTTATAGGCTACACAAGGGAACAAAATCTCTCCGACCACCGTAAGCACGGGTCTGCGGTCGGCGAGTAAGGGCAGCTCGCCGCCCGACCAGAACCAGGCCCAAACGTACGGCGCGTAGCGTTCCGCGCGCGCCTCAAAGAGCCAATAGACCGCCACAGACGGGGCCCTATAGGGCTTATTTACAGCCGGGGTTGCGGGGTAAGCGCAATGAGGCACTGCGACCTCGGCCCAGAGCAGGAGAAGGAACAGGGGTGTTTTTGGCTAGTAAGAGTCTGACACTCCATCCCGCCCGGCCCTGGCCGGGAGAAGTCATTTGATGATTTTCCCCTCACAAAAAAAGGTTACTAAATCAGGTGCTCCATGACACCATTGCACCAATCTGTCACTAGAATCGCTATCCATTGACGATGGAAAATTTCCACTTCGAACACGTGCCAAAGTGGGTTCAACTCTCGCGCAAATAACAAGTGATAACAAAAAAAATGCAATTCGAAACACACAGACAACCAAACTTTTCCCCCCATTAGACAACATTCGCGTAGTTATTTATATACACACATACATACAAGTAAAATGACTTTCGTCATTGTTAGAATTCCATTAACCTAAACTACGGTCATGAAACAAAGAGCCAATGACCTTTCAGGCTGAAAATATTTTTTCATATCTATACTAATATTATTAAGAGGTAAAATTTGTAAGTTTGTATGTAGGGGGTAATCTTTGGAACCGCTGGTCGGATTGCCAGAATTCTTTTACTGACAGACAGCTACAATGTTCCTGAGTGCTATAGGCTATAAAACATCACGCTACGATAAAATGGAGCCGAGCAGTGGGTGAAACCGCGCGAGATTAGCTAGTTACTTATAACTAGGTATTCTCATTTTGCAATTAATTAGTATAAAATTAAGTATGGGAGAGCCATGCTTCGGCATGAATGGGTCGCCTCGATCGGAGTGATACCACGGCCTTACAGAAAACCGGCGTGAAACAACCACAGCGTTGTATTTTGCCTTGTGAGTGAGGTTACCGATGGCCCAAATCCCTTTGTCCCCCATCCACATCCACCATCTCCACAATCGTTTTAACCCCAAATGGTTGGCAACGCACTCGTAACTCATTCGTTGTTACAGGCGTTCACGGACAGCGCCGATTGCTTACCATCAGGTAATCCGCCTTCATGTTTCCTGTCCTATTCTATCACATAAAAATATTTATGTAGTTCCAATATTGAAATATCGTTAAGCTACGCTTTGTCACGTTCCTTCGTCATTTTCGACCGAAATTATACCACAGCCTAACTGAAATTCGCAGTAGGCAACATTCCGGGAATCGGGGATCGAAAAATGATCTCCGGTCACCGTAAGCGCGGGTCTGCGGACGGCGAGTAAGGGTAGCTCGCCGCCCGACCAAAACGCCCGGCCAATAGACCACCACAGACGGGGCCCTATAGGGCTAAGGTAAGCTAAGGTAAGCGCAATGAGGCACCGGCTCGGCCCCGAGCAGGAGAAGGAACGGGAGTTTTTAGTCAGTAAGAGTCTGACACTCTCTGCCGCCTAACCCTGGGCGGGAGAAGTCATTAGATGTTTTTCCACTGACAGAAAAAAATCCTGACTGAAATTGGCGTAAAAGAACCACAGCTTTGTATTTCGCTCTGTGAAATCTCCCCTCATCCGCAAATAAACCAGCCGGGGTTGAGGATTCAGGGCGGAAGAAAACTTAATAATTATTTTATATTGTGTGTCTTTCTAAGGCTGGCAACGTACTTATAGTTCTAGCGATGTGAGTGTCGAAACTTTTTTTTAAGTCGGTGAAAACAAATCTGCAAACACTTTCAACAATTAAAGTAAGAATGAAATTATTAAAAAGTAAAACCGACATGTGAATGACCTATAAAACAAAACAAAAAGACTGTACTACACTACATGAGCTGCTGTTAAACTGACATTTAATTAAAAAAGAAACAATTATATACTTCCGTATGTATGAATGTAGTACATGCGTTAACATCGACCCATTTTGTCAAGCAATGACCTTTAGCAAGTTGTTGACTGGACATCTACACTACATGAGCTGCTGTTTACATGTGAACATTAGCTCATGACGACCTAATATTATGGAGACTTGCTGCCTTGTCAGTTTGAAAATCGAAATAATTATTTTAACGAGAAGAGGTTTAATTGAAACATAAAGACATTGGATTTTAACACTTTTAATTGTAACAATAAGCCTCATAGTTGAACAACCAATTTTTAACTTAAATATAAATGTTAATCACAAATGAGAAATCATTTTTTGAACGAAATCTAGATTGAGTATCCACCAGAATGTAATGCTAAAGAATAATATCTTCACTATAATATCTACAATCACCATCCTAGAAAAAGAGAAAAAGAAAACTTAAAAAAAAACCTGGGTCACTTTTTTTAAGACCATTTTTTAGCAAAACATGAATATACAAGCATTTGAATAACCCGATGGCTAGCAAATTGTGGCGCCTAATTATAGTATCTAAAAACAGATACCAGTCTTTTAAAAATTAAATATTGAATTTTAATTTTATCAAAAACTTGACTACACTTTTCATTTTAACTTTATACTTAACTTTGACTTTATTTTTCTTATTTTAAATTGCCATTTTAAACCCTAAATTTGTCTGTGCTCTATTTGAACTCTTTTGATTGGCTTTTTCAGGCCAACTTTCACTTTAAATTTTTTACTGACTTTGGCCTTTATTTTTTTATTAAGACTTTGACAACTTTTGACTGACTTTGATATTCAATTTTCAAATCATACCTTAAGTATGGGAGAGCCATGCTTCGGCACGAATGGGTCGGCTCGACCGGAGTGATACCACGGCCTCACAGAACAACCGCACCGTTGTTTTTTCGCCATGTGAGTGAGCTTACCGGAGGCCCAATCCTTCCCCTCCCCCAATCCCTCCTCAATCCCTAAATCTCCAAATCCCTAATCCCCAAAAGGTCGGCAACGCACTCGTAACTCCTCCATTGCGAGTGTCCATGGGCGGCGCTGATTGCTTACCATCAGGTAATCCGTCTGCTCGTTTGCCGACATATTATATAAAAAAATACCTTTTATAATGTCTCCTTGCTTTAGGCAAATCTTCATCTTTCTCATTCAGAAGGTACTTTTTACAACCTTTTAGTGCGTTCACGAAATATTTATTTTGTTCTATATTTTCTATACCAAAGAAGAAATGCTTCTCATCTTCTGGCTTGATGCGGGACCTCATGAGGACCAGGCTTTTGTTGTCAAATGTCCATTGCTTGGTTATATAGCATGATAACGCCATACTTGCTATGTAAATGCGTCGTTGGATTTTAACCAGCCTGTAAGAACGGAAAATACCTAATATAAGTTATTTTTAAGATACAGTATAAAACTAGGTATATTATTAGGTAGGTATAGTGTATGAAAAGGCCTTTGCTCAGCAGTGGGCACTTATTTGCTGATTTATTATTGACTAGCTTCCGCCAGCGGCTTTGCCCGCGTGTTGTGTTTATACCTATACCAATAGAACAAAATCGAAGTATACATAAAATTTGTTATTAATCATCTCATTTTTATGGGACCGCCTCCAATGAGTAAATACCCTATTACTTACTTAGTCTCCGCTATCCGCCCGTCCATAGATAGAATGGTACGGATCTAACTAATAGGTAAGTATTGCGAATATTCATAAAACCTATTATATTATAATTTATTTTATTCCAAGTCGCGTCGAGCGCGGCAACCGTTACACAAAAATAATCCTTATAGCATGATTCAGTGTTCACATGCGAGGGCCCGATGGCTTATTATCCGAACTGCTAAGCTATCAGGAGTTACACGCGCTATTGTGAGTTAAATATAAAAGACAGACATATGCTGTAAAACATTTTTTTTAGATAATTTTATGTAAAACATTTCCGTGATACAAAATTTCAATTTAACTTTAACCATTAAGACTACACACGCGACGGAAACTTAAAAAAGGGAGTAACTCCTCCCGTTTTCCCAACATTTTCCTTCATTGCTCTGCTCCTATTATTTGTAGCGTGATGAAAAGTATCCTATAACCTGCCCAGGAGTATAAAGAATAATTGTACCAAGTTTTGTTAAAATCCGTCGAGTAGGTTTTATTTCTATAAGGAACATACACACAGACAGACAAAAATTTTACTGATTGCATTTTTGGCATCAGTATCGATCTCTTATCACCCCTGGTAGTTATTTTGAAAATATATTTAATGTACAGAATTGACCTCTCAACAGATTTATTAGGTGCGCGTGGTAATTAATGCTGATTCCTTCTTCGTGTAAGTAGATAACGATAGGCTGATGATATCTGATAAAATGAATATATTTTTTGACTTACAATGGTTTTTTTCCCGCACACCATAGAATAGTATCCACTAACATGGCTGGAAGAAGATGCTGGAATATCACCTGCAAATTGAAATCATAGAAAACGTATTAGAATGTATGCAGTATGGCTAGCTTTAGGCAGCTGAAACGGTGGCAACGTCGTGGTGACTCGGAGGCCTAGGGTCCACCACTTGATATACGGTGAAAGAAAACATCGTGAGAAAACCTGGACCTATAATTTCTAATTATAAGTTTGAAATCGCTAATCCTGCTTGAGCAAGCGTGGTGATTAATGCGCAAACCTTCTGCGTGTTTGAAGAGGCCTTTGCTTAGCAGTGGGCTGATGTTGTGAGGTGATGTGCAACGTAATATTACAAAGGAGGACTTAATGCTGTAGGCATTCTTACCAGCCAACCTTAAAGTGTTAAAGAGAGAGAATGGTAGGTGCAACAGGAAAAGAACGTTGAGACGATAAATTTAGATTTCAAAATAGAACAACAAGAAAATATCATATTCAGTATGAGAACAAATTTTGGCAGTTACCTTAAAATAGTAAACAGTCTTCGAAGTCGTTACGTCTCCGTCTGGCACCCAAAGAATATCATTGATGGGATAGTCCACAGCTAAATCTTTACCCATTGTTATCATATCCTTCATTGTAATAGTATTCAGTTTGCCAGCGCAGCAATTGTAAATAGGCAAGTCATCGGTTGGAGCGAACCTGACAAAAGTAAGGTCCGGTTTTAGTTTTTTTTTAACCAAGCTGTACAGATACTTATGGATCGGGGTTGGGGGTCAAGCGCAATAATGAATCGCGGCCTGGAGCAGGAGAAGATATTGGTAAGGCGGATTTTAGTCAGTAAGAGTCTGACACTCAATTCCTTGCGCAGAGCAGTGCCTATGCATTATATCTACATAAAGTGGTTTGCAGAGAGTTTGAAGGTGATTATTTTATGTGACAGGACAACAAAGGAACAGACGGATTTGGCCTGCAGTGTGATTCTGTAAGACTTCATTCTAAACTTCGAATCTGAATCCGCTGTGAGTAGTAGTAGTACACTAGCGCTACACTTGCGAGTTGAACTAAATTGACAGCAACATTTTGATAGATAAAGTATGAGATGACGTTAAAAGTAGCATTCTAAAATTTAATTTCCCCGTCACTTCGACGCTCACTTCGCACTCGAACACGATTCAAAATCAAACAAATTTTATAGAATCGACGTGCTGCTTGTACGAAATTGACGCCGTCCATAGGCAACATGGGAACAGTGGAGAAATAATCCAGTCTTTCGGGAATTAGGCTTTCGGAGATTTAGGGATTGGGGGAGCGAAGGAGGATTGGGTCTCCAGAAACTTCACACACCTGGCGAAATAAAATGTTTCATGACGATTTTCTGTGAGGCCGTGTTATCATTTCGGTTGAACTGACACATTCGTGCCAAAGCAAGGTTCTCTCTAAATTGTTGATTTTTGTATTAATGAATGTTTTGGAAATTTGGTCGTTTACTTACTCCTTGGTTCCTCTTATCCAGGAAGCGACAATGAAACTTTTGATGGCGATATCCACCGGCATGTAATCTGCTACCAGGTCAGGGTCTGTGTACATGGTCCTCAGAATACCTGGAACAGCAATGATGGAACTACTACTATCCCAACCTAAATCTCTATACGAGTCAATCATTATTTTCGCTAGTTTTTGTTGTTCTGTTAATGATACTTCATGTTCGTTGAATACAGACGTAATGGCTGCTATATTTCTATTCTATTGCTTTCAGATGAGGTTTACTAGGAACCAGTTTGTCCACTCACTTAGCTTTCAAAAATTGAACGCTCAATGATATGTCACCAGCAGTGCTATTCAGTAAATTGTAAATCTCATCTCGAAAATAATTTCAAAAGTCACACATCACTTCGCTTCTCATCTCACCTGTACACAAACGTCAAAATACACACTTGTTTTAGTTCCTTTCACTTTGTTATTCACATGGTGCCACCAATGTAGATTTCACTGCATTTGAGCATATGAAACTTTAAATAAACATGATTTCACCGAGGTTTCAGAAGTGATTTCGCCAATTAACTTTAGGGAATAGCACAGCAGTTCTCTAAAGGATGAAAAATAGTAATGCGCCGTTTTTACGGCGGCCATCTTAGATTTAAAAAGTTATTGATATCACTATTATTGTATTGCCATCAGAATTAAAGGTGTGTACCAAATTTCAGATTGATCAAACTGAAAACAGGAAGGTAAGTACTTAAATAACAATTTTCAATTTTGACCCAGACCAAAAATACTAGACATTCTTAGCGAAAACGCGAGAAAACGCAGAGCCGAAATTACGGTATACGGAATATACGGTGAACGGAGTTCGTTCTACAATCCCCGACGCCTGGAGTGTCTCCTACCGCGGCAGCTAGGGCGTGGGGAGGATATATCCCTCGCTCCACCCCCTTCTTTGCGAGCATCACTGCTGCGCAGAAGGAAGAGACGGCTTCCCAGTTCCTCTCGATCCGCACCATGGCTTCGACTAAGGTTAAGGTCGTATGCGCCTTATGCCCATCTTTTTAATACGGTAGTTTCCAACTAATCAAATTCAATACTTTTATCCAAATGTCAAAAACGATACTTTTGTATAAAATTTGTATGAAAAACTGAGTTATGACGTCATTGTATTTTTGCGTCAAATAGCTTACTTATCTCTTAATAATTAGCTACAAAATATGTAAAACTTAGTGTATCCATCGATCGACGAATAAAAATATAGTTATTTTTCAATATTTTATTGTATTGAAACGTCGAATTAATTTATTTGTGTGTTGTTAAGTGTGGGAGAGCCATGCTTCGGCACGAATGGGTCGGCTCGACCGGAGTGATACCACGGCCTCACAGAAAACCGGCGTGAAACAACCACAGTGTTGTGTTTCGCTGTGTGAGTGAGGTTACCGGAGGCCCAATACTTCCCCTTCCCTAATCCCTCCCCAGTTCCTAAATCTCCAAATCCCTAATCCCTAAAAGGTCGGCAACGCACTCGTAACTCCTCCGTTGCGGGTGTCCATGGGCGGCGCTGATTGCTTACCATCAGGTAATCCGTCTGCTCGTTTGCCGACCGATTACATAAAAAAAAAAAAATCGACCTAGGAAACTACTCAATTCCAAAAAAAGCATTTGTACTAATAACTTGTGAGCCAGATTTTATAAGTTTAAGCCTAAGTATCGTATACATTAAGTCGAATATTGATAAAAAGTTTTGGGAATTTATACCTTACCTTTTCCACATGCTATCAAAATTCCAACAGGTCCATTGAAGTTCTCTACCCATCCTGGCACCGGTTCATCAACGCTCGAAATAACTGGAAACACCAAAAACTCTATACAATAAAAAGTCCAATTGCAAAACTGAAACCAGCTTTTGCCCGCGACTCCGTTCGCATGGGGTAGTGACATCCCGCAGATTTTTGGTATAAAAACTATCCTATACCCTTTCTCGAGTTTCAAACTATTTTGGTTCAATACACAGAAATCGGTTCAGTAGTTTAGGCTTGATGAAAATACAGACATATGTACAGACAGAGTTACTTTCGCATTTATAAAAACACAAATTCTATCAGATCAGTATAGCCCATGGATATCCACTACATTTGTCAAGGTTTTTAAAAAAAGAGGTACTCTATTTTCTAAATGACTATCTTCTCTCGCGTGGTTTCACCCGCTGCTCGGCTCCATTTAATCGTAACCTGATGTTTTATAGCCTACAGCACTCAGGAACATTGTAGATATCTATCAGTAAAAGAATTTTGGCAATCCGACTAACGGTTCCAAAGATTACCCCCTACATACAAACTAAATTTGGAAGGTAACCTCTTTATAATATTAGTACCTATAGATTAGTTGGTTCCAAAAGGAAGAAAACAAAGACAAGCAAGCAAAAATTAATTTCTAAAAGCAATATTTGCTTAAAGTTTAAGTTGAGCGCATAGTGTCGTAACGCTTTCCGCACTCGTCTCAAGGACATCTCTCGCCCCACTGTTAGCGAGAAAAATAGTTTATTTATTTATTATAAGGTACGCTCACAGCTTATGTATACAAATTGGTTATAGGCAGTTGGTCATATACATTAGCCTGTTACGAGCTAACCAACATTCTAAAAATTATGCGTTTATACAGTCAAAATATATAGAAATTAAAACTAGAAATAATTAAATTAACATATGTAGATCAACAGTATTAATCACACAATTAACTTAATAAAATAAAAATAAAATTTGATGTGGGCTACCATTTAAAAATTTAGATTTATGCTACATGAATGTATAATGTAGTTATTATTTTAGACATTTTAGATAGGAGGAGTACATAAAAATTGGGATTATTGTTTAATGGACTCGAATATTTTTGATTTAAATAAGTACATGAATGGTGTCGTGGAATATATCGATTTCTGGTAGTTTGATCATATTGTACGTCAAAACCGAACTTGTCTCAATTAAAACTGCTGGATCAAAGTTTATAATCACCAATTGAAGGTCTGATGATGACCACAGGTATAATTCCTTTATACTCAGCTACGACATTCTCAGCAAGCTGTTTGGAAAATGTATATGTATTGGGTAGCTCTCCTAGGTATCTGAAATAGAAAGAAATTAAACATTTTGTATCAATAAAATGGTATTAGATAGGGTATTGCATAAATAAATGTAAGTACATTTGTACATAATATTGACACGATGTCTTCTAGGCCAAAAAGACCAGGCAACGCTAAATGATACAACTCACGTCTCTCTTTCGCTTCATCAACATTCTTCTGTAGACATTCTTTGACTTTTACTTTGGTTTTCAACTTTGGTAACTCTCGACTGTCGAAATACGACTTTCGACTTTTAGCTTTCAACTTTCGACTGTAGACTTTTGGTTTTCTATTGTAGACTTTCGTTTTACGACAATCGATTTTTGTACTTTGACTTTTACCTTGCTTCTTTATCACCTCAATTATATCTCATTGCAAGATTTTTGGCAACTTACTTCGGAGTGAGAACCTTCAATGTATGAGGGTCAACAGTCTCGCAGATATCCAGGGTCTCCCTCCAGTCTGCGTGAGGAGGGTAGATGATCTCTTCAAGGGTCTCCCTGTTGGTGTTGGAGTACGAGGTCGACACGTGGATGAAGACCTGGAAAAGCGTTTCATGTAAATATATAATACTACTTAATACTTTTCATCACCAGCCTATAGGTGTCCACTGCTGAGCAAAGTCTCACACGGAGAATGATGATGTAATGAATAAATCAAAACTACTGGATCGATTTTAATCACATAGGCTATAATTATATTTTATACCCGTGCGAAGCCGAAGCGGGCCGCTATGTTTTTATACACAACTTTCACAGTTTTTCTGTAGTGTATTTAGTATTAGCATTGCACTCGTGCGAAGCCGGGGCGGGTCGCTAGTTTATAATATTAGTAAGATAAGACTAGCTTCCGCTCGCGTGGTATGTTTATGAAAAGCGGCCGATGTGGTAATCCAGGGTCAAGAACCATTGAACACTAACTAACAAGTTTTTAGAGTAAAAGTCTGACACTCCTTCCCGACTCACCTAGAGACTGTCAGACTAGGGTTATATGAGGAACTCATTGGATGATTTTCCCTTCAGAAAAAAAAATAATCCTTCTAATATGTTTGGAGTTCTGACCTGTATACATACCAAATTCCAAAGAGATCAGTTCAGCCGTCTTTGCCTCAAATAATAACAAAAATACATCCAAACATTCTCACAATCTTTCACATTTATAATATTAGTAGGAAGTAGTATTTAACAATTGAGATGGCAAAAATGAATGTTAATTGACAATACTCACATTTAAATTCCTTATCTCAGCAGCCAGTTCCACCATCTCCTTAGTACCCCGGAGGTTCATGCGGATAGCGTACTCCAGGGGATCGTCAAATCTAGCAGAAAAAATGGGCTTATTTTTATAACTTTTTTACCTGATGGTAAGCAATCAGCGCCACCCATGGACACTAGTAGCAATGAAGGATTTACGAGTCTATTGTTGGACTTTTGCCCCCTTATTACAAAACAAGATTTATCTTTAGTCCAGGTTTAAACCATTGAGTCGGGTTTTGAATTTTGAATCTTATTGTCATCTACCTTCAATTCGAAATACCAAAACTGGCTCAATGGTTTAGTCCTAGACTAAAGTAAAACCTTGTTTTGTAATAAGGCCGTTAAGAGTCTGGGATTTTGTAGATTTAGGAATTGGGGGAGCACTGCTATCCAACACTGGTGAAATTTGGCTGTAATATTGCATAACTATGTGATATCTCCATTTTTCCGTTTTTGCATACCCCTTCGGGAAAAAAGGTGTGATGATACTTCTACTAATAATAAGTTTGTTTGTATAGTTGTTTGTCATTTCAACTGCAAGTTTGGTGCGCTGGCTACCGTCCAACGTATCGCGGGTTCATTTTCAGGACAGAATAACCCTTTGTGTGATCAAAATTGTTGTTACCGATCCACAAATGTGCCATGTGTATGTGAAGTTGTATGTTCGTAAACGCACCTACGACACAGTTGAGAATACTAATAGTATATACATTTTTTTTAATGTAATAGGTCGACAAACGAGCAGACGGGTTACCTGATGGTAAGCAATTAGCGCCACCCATGGACACCCGCAACAAAAGAGGAGTTACGAGTGCGTTGCCCACCTTATGGGGATTAGGCATTTGGGAGATTTAGTTCCGGTTTTCTATGAGGCCGTTTTATCACTCTGTCGAACCGATCCACTCGTGCCGAAGCATGGCTCTCCCGCACTTAAAAATACTCATGAATGGACATGTTCCTTTCGGATTTCGAAGAAGGACATAGGATAAAGCTAGAAGCTGTATTAGAAATAGTGTTGCCCAAATGCAAGAACAAGACGAGACTTAGCCAGTCTTGGTCTTGGTCTTGCGCCAATACATCTGGTCTTGGTCTTGGTCTTGGTCTTGCGCTCCCAGTCTTGGTCTTGGTCTTGGTCTTGCAGCAAGAGTCTTGCAAGTCTTGCAATTACCAATTAGTCTATTACTATTTATTAAAGTACTTTAAATCTTAGAAAACCGTATTAGAATTAGAACATTGTGAGCTTGAATTAACATAGCCATAGTAAAGATCAAGCAGATTAATAAATAACTGAAGATTTGATAAGAAATTCGAAAAACCAACTGACCTATATGTCGTTTTCCATGGAAGTAACTGTTTCTATGATTTATAAGCTTACATTCGCTAAAACATGTAAAAAAACAAATTAATTACAATATCTTGACTGTAATTTAAAGAACAATACTTATCTGTCTATAAAGAGATTGAACCCTCAACTTATGAGAAATTTAATAAAAGAGCTTTACGATTTATCATTTATTTAAATAAAAAATAAAATACAACACAAATCAACAGCTTTATCATTAAATGATGATACTTTATATCAATTTTTTGACCAACAATTAATACAAAGTAACCATCTGGCTGACTCATCACTTAACCCTATTTCTATGTTTTCTAATTACTAATGATGCTTTAGAAAATAACCTCTCAGCAGTTTCAAGTATATTTAAAAGTGGCTACAATATTTATTAAACTGGTGATATTTGAACACTTTTTTGCTATTTTTTCTTGCAAAATCTTAAGAAATAAGTATAATGACTAAATGTACAATAATAGTACCTAAGCAATTAGTTTAAAACCATATAAGTAATAAATATTATAATATATACTTACTAGAATGAATTAATATGACATCTAATACCTATCCTTACCATTTTATCCCAATCATAATACTACCTACTTGCCTGATCAGTATAATGTATTCATTTTCATTCTAAGCACTCTGAAACTTATTTATTCTTTGGAACACCTGTAGGTACTCTTAAAAGTCGAAATTATTTTGCATGAGTATACCTACGTCCTATGGCGGCAATCAAATAGTGTCAAATGTTATGATTTCGACGTGGCGGCAACGATTGTTTTAGATTTCAAAAGAAGCCGCCGGCGCGTTTATCATAACCATGTACTTCCGAAAAGCGGCAAATTTCTTTGAGAAGTAAGTACAAAACCTTTGATGCCGCATTATCAAAGTGCCGATGGTTAAAACATAACTATGCATGCACTCAGTTTGATTTTAATAGATATTTTTTTATTCGCTATGTTTATGATATTAGTCGTAATGCGCATAGGTCCAGTTTTTCATATTCTTTGATACAGTTTTTTGCGTCTCATAAAATTCCTAAGCGTACCTACCTATACACCGAACTGTTACACCTAACCTAGCTGCAAGACGCAAGAGTCTTGCAGGCTATGTCTTGTTCTTGCTCAAGTCTTGCGCGGTCAGTCTTGGTCTTGGTCTTGCAAAAACGCAAGAACAAGACCAAGACTGCAAGACCAAGACTGAATTTGGGCAACACTAATTAGAAATAGGTCATACCTGACGCTGGCTGCTACATGGTAGACAATATTGACACGATTGATGATCAATGCGCGATCCTCTTCAGAAATTCCTGAAATTTAAAGTATGTATCAATTATTATTATTTTCACAAAACTAGCTAATCGATTAGCTCGAATATAGCGAATCGATTATAGCAAAATCGATTTCACCCGTTCTTCGACTCCTACAGATCGTAGCGTGATGTTTTATAGCCTATATAAATAGTCTTCCTCGATAAAGGGACTAACAAACACAAAAAGTATTATTAGATTCGAATCAGTTGTTCCGGAGATCAAACAAACAAACTCTACAGGTTAATAATATAAGGATATTGTTTACACTTCACCGCTCTATGGCTCCCCCCTACATGTGTGGCGATAATGCGATATGGAGATTAAAGTTAAAAATATTCAGGTTTATATCAGAGAGCGCAGCTGACTGTGATCTGACCACTACGCAGGATAGGTATGTGCGCAAGAAAAGTTATGTTATCTCGCTCTTCGAATCCAATGGAATAGCTGGACGGCATGACCGAAAAAAAATATATAAAAAAAAATGTTTATTTCATCAACCGTGTAAACATTAAAATTTTTAAATTTGGAGACACCTTTTAAGCAAAGATTTGCTTGTGTTAGGTGGTTCCGCTCCTCCAGTTTACAGTAACTTTACATTGTGTGAGAAACAAACAATAATTAAATTATTTTAATTAATAAAAAAGGTCAAATGAAGTGCTTTCCGAGAGTTCAAACACTACCAACTACCTGACTCATACCTGGTTTCCGAAAGCCCGATCAATGATAAAATCAACTAACTAGGTGTCAAATCTCTTGTCAAGTCTCTAGGTGTCAAATCTGATTGGTTGTTGATAATTCAGTCAACCAATCAGATGACTTGACAAGAGATTGAATTGATTTTAACATTGATCGGCCTTTCGGAGTGTAAGAATGGTCATTTTAATCAGAATGATATGATATGCCCTTTGTGTCCAACGCGAGAACTGGACCCGTAATACGACGCACATAAATCGTAATCATCCACTTCACCAACAGTGAAGTCAAAATTTGACCTACTACCAGGTTTCTGCATCCGGCGTTGCCCGCGTGATTGTGATAGATCTGAAAACTTTTTCTATTTAGCACCAATATTTATCCAGATGTCGGAGAAAAATCTAAATTCTTCAAGAGGAAAAAATATAAGATACAATATATACATATTATGCTAGTCCGAAGGTTCAGGCACACTAGCCCCTTGCAACATGAGGACGCGGTATCTGAACCTGGCAAGTACCAATGCCTTTATCCGAGTTATAGACTTTCTATGATTATTTAGACACCACTGACATACGGCGAAGGAAAACATCGTGAGGAAACCTGGACTTATAACTTCTAATTATAAGTTTGAAATCGCCAAACAGCCTTGAGCAAGCGCAGTGACTAATGCTCAAACCTTCTCCGTGTGAGAAGACGCCTTAACTCAGCAGTAAGCACTTATAGGCTGATGATGAAAAATGGAAATAATATAAAAGTAACTCACCCAAACCAAGTTCCATAACATCTCCAGCGATCACGAATACTTTGGACTCGAAGCCAGGTCTCTCTTTGCGGAGTCTGTCAAACAACTGAAATATAAAATTCATAAGCATTAATAACTATATGAACCAATTCCAGCGTTCCACGCTCGCCTCAAAGAGCCAATAGACGACCACAGACGGGGCCCTATAGAGCTAGCTATAGAGCGAGCTATAGAGCTGATGTTCGTAAGCGCAATGAGGCACCGGCCTCGGCCTAGAGCAGGAAAAGGAACAGGGGGGTTTTTAGGCAGCAAGAGTCTGACACTTCCTCTCGCCCCACCCTGAGTGGCAGAAGCCAAATGATGATTTTCACGTAACAATAAAAAAATTATTATTAAAAAAACAAAATACCCGACTGCACACTAAAAAAAGAGTAAAACAAGCCCCACAATACAAATTTACTGAATATAATTTATAAATGTTGATGGAAAGCATCGCAGGCGGGGACCAACAGAGGCTTATTTATAGTCATTTCTGTTGTGCACCATTTAGCAGAATTTTCGTTGGTGGCGGTCAAGGTGGTCCCCGCCTGCGATGCTTTCCATCAACATTTATAAATTATATTCAGTAAATTTGTATTGTGGGGCTTGTTTTACTCTTTTTTTAGTGTGCAGTCGGGTATTTTGTTTTTTTAATAATAATTTTTTTATTTATAACTTTTTAGCTGTTTTTATTTTTTTATTAATAATTATTATTATATTATTAATTAATATGAAGAATTTAAGAAAGAACCAAAAAAAAGAACGGAAGAACGAGTTAATTAATAAGAAAGAACGAATGAATTTAAAGAGAGAAACACGAAAGAAAAAGAACGAGTTATTTATACTTTATAAGTTTCGCGTCAGACGACGAAGTATCGAAAAAATCGCTATTTAGAGACGACCGTCAACGACGTGTGCCCTTATGCGTGTGCCCGCATTCGGGCTGTATACTCGAGCATATCCCCCTCCGCACCGCGCCGCGCGCCGCATGCCAGGCCACGCCCTATCTTTTTGCTTGCTAACCATCGATCACTAATAAAGAACTAGATACACAATCAGTGGCAAAAAAATGTCCCAACTGAAAGTCCACCAAACTCAACATCGCGGTGTAGTTTTAGTTTAGTACCACTCGAATGCTCCGACGGTAAACACGCCTCAGTGCTCGTTAAAAAACTGCAAAAACACACACATCTAAGATGCAAAAAAGGAAGGAATTTCATATTTTCGTTTAGTCATAATATTATCATTATATAATTGTCATCATTCTATTTTAAATATTGATATTTTATTAAGAAATTAACTTTAAACTTTTTCCAAATGAAATCGTATTCAAAAACCGGGGTTATAATGCACACAGTTTATAAAGACACTTATACTAAACGTAAAATCATTCTCTAGCATGACCACTTAAGTTGTTCGGTTTACGTGGATTGATTCTGTTCCGTTTAGCGGAGACGCTATTGTTCCTAATTTTATATATTGTTTTTTTTTATTAAAAAATAGTTTTTATTTAATATTATAATTCTTTACTGTGTTTATTAAAATATGGAATAGGCAGATATAATGGATTTAATTTTAACTGCAGTAAAGACATTTTTTTAGCTTTCATCAAAATCCCGTGCGATATGAAAAATTTACAACAATAACGCCAACATTTTCAGTACTTACTTTAGATATATATTCTTTTTATTATTTTACATCTTTTTTATTTGACTTCGAATAGAAAGGATTAAGGAGGACGAAAATAAAAAAAAAGAATTATAACTATATGCATTAGTTTCATTGGTAAATAAATGAACAAACCTATAGAAAAGAATACTATAAGTAATGCGTTTTAATTTGCGTATTTTCTAAAGAAATATTATAAAGAAATATATTTCTTACGAGACATTTCGACTCCAATCATTCTTTGTCCTAGCGGTGAGCCGAAGTCGTTAAATTTTATTGCTTATTTTTGACACTTTGTAAATTCGACTTAAAAACATGCGAATATGGTTCAATTTCTTATGATTTGTGTTTGTCAAGAGCTTCGGTCGCAAAAAGTATTAAGATTTTGTACATCACTTTGTAAAAACAACTCTATGAGTTGCATTTAAGGTTTAATTTACATTAATGCATTTTTATTTCAAGTATAAGTACCTAAATACAGTTGGCGACAGTTTTGAAGCGAACTTTTGTATGGGATTGTGTATCTAGTTCTTTATTAGTGATCGATGTTGCTAACGCATGAGTTGCTTTGCGTTGACGCAGAATTAACATGTTCCCGTGGGAATTTTGAGAAAAAACGTATCCTATATTAATTACTCCCGTGATTGAAATGAATCTAATGATACCGCATACATATTTTTTTAAAGGGAAATTTAGAAAAAATATTATTATGTCTTTATCCCGTGGGACTTTTAGGATAAAATGTATCCTATGACACTCCCGTAATCAAGACAAATCTAACGATACCTCATACATCAAAATCCATCAAGCCGTTTAGGCTACAGGAGGTCACAAAGGAACAGACATACATACATACTTACATACACTCGAAAAACATTACCCTCCTTCTTTGGCAGTCGGGTAAAAAGGGGTCTTGTGTGTGGTGTGTTTGTGAAATTGTATGTTTGTAAACGCGTGTTGTTAACAAATTAAAAAAAAAACAGACAAAAAATCTAGTATTAAAAACCTAGCGTTGCGGGGGGCCGATCCAAATATTTTATTATCTACATATTTCTTTTTTGTCGGAGGTCTTATTTTTTTTTTTTATTCTATACTTTTTATTGGTATTTTATATCATTTTCTCTCGATTAAGTCATCAACATTCCCTGTCAGTGCGCTTTCATTTGAGACCCCACTCGAGTATATTTGCAGACCTTCGATTACCCTTCCCCACTTACCCCCTATAACTTATAAACGGCTCAACCGATTTTCGTCAAGCATGTCTAAGAACACTCGCACGTATGTCACCTTTAATACAAAAAAAAACTAAATTGAAATCGCTTCACCCGTTCAGGCTCCAGGATGCCACAGACAGACAGACAGACACGTCAAAGTTATAACACCCCTATTTTTTCGGGGGCGGGGTTAAAATGGCGATAAGTAGTTTTATTTTAAGTTAAATAGAAGTTTAAATAATCTTTTGTTAAATTGTAATGTGGTAATTATTTTCATTATAATTTAGTACTCCATATGTTTATTAAAATTACTGTAAAATTACATTTTTAAATATTACTATAAAATAAAATAAAATAATATTTAAAACTATAAAAGTAGGAGCCAGCCGGCAGCGGGAGCAAGGTCCAAGCTACCGGCAGTTAGGGCTCCAGAGACAGGAACCTCCTCACAATACGTGCCGTTTCAAGGAGGACTGCCTTCTGTATGAGGCCCTTGATCCATCCGCCTAACGTCAGCCTCTTAAGGTGGTTGTCGAGGCTTTTGGGTTCTAACCCATTTGCCGACACAACTATCGGCACAATGATAGCCGAGTCCACACTCCACATGTCAACAACCTCGTGAGCTAAGTCAAGATATTTCAATTGTTTATCTTTCTCAGCTTTCACGAGGTTCTCGTCATGAGGAATGGCAACATCGATTATCGTCGTGCGACGCGCTAGTCGGTCTACCACAACTATGTCAGGCTTATTGGCTACAATATATTATCATTATAATTTATTATTAGTAGCTTCAAAAACTATATGTGAAGGCACTATACTAGGTGATGTGGAATTTTAAAACAATGATTGACCTCTGCAATTGTTTTGTTGATCGTGGTCATATGAAAATTGATTTTTTACATTAATTTCATATTCCATTCAATTTTGTTTCAAGGCCAAAAATAATTTAATTCATTATGCGTCGCGTTTTAATTGCTAATATCGACGGTGGAATACCAATGATTTCTTCTATACTTATAATAAATCTATAAAGAGGTCAATTCTGTACCCGAAATATATTTTTAAAATAACTATCAGGGGTTGATTAGTAATTGATACTGATGCCAAAAATGTAACCTGTAAAATTTTTGTCTGTCTGTCTGTATGTTCCTTATAGGAACAAAAACTACTAGGTGGATTTTAACGAAACTTGGTACAATTATTCTTTATATTCCTGGACAGGTTATAGGATATGTTGGGGAAACGAGAGAAGTTACTTAATTTTTTTAGCTTCCGGCGCTTGTGCAGCCGTAATGGTTAAAGTTACATAGAAATTATGTATCACTTGAATGTTTTACATAAAATTATCAACAAAATATCCTAAAACAGTATCGGCCTTATTACAAAAATAGGTTTTACTTTAGTCTAGGACTAAACCATTGAGCCAGTTTTCGTATTTTGAATTGAAGGTGGATGACAATAAGATTCAAAATTCAAAACCCGACTCACAATAACACACTCCTGATAGCTTAACAGTTCGGAGCATTAGCAGCAGTGTTTACTTTTTCGTTTATAAAAATACTTATACTTATCTCTAACTAGCTTCTCTCACGCGGTTTCACCCGCTGCTCGGCTCCATTTAATTGTAGCGTGATGTTTTATAGCCAATTAGGAACTTAGGAACATTGTAGCTATCTATCAGTGAAAGAATTTTGGCAATCCGACCAGCTGTTCCAAATATTACCCCCTACATACAAACTTACAAATTTTACCTCTTTATAATATTAGCATAGAAGTATAGATGAAAAAATATTATTTTATAATCTATTCAACAAAAAAAAAGAATGATAGAAATCAGTATATAAGCGTGTCCCTTTGCGATGCCATGGTTCAAGATAATAATACTGTGAGTATGAGCCATTTACTTATTTTATCACGACATGCACTAACGTACCTGAAAGTATAATAACATCCATAAAATAGTGGAGAAATTTAGTATCAGCGTGTCAGCATTGCATCCGTGCGAAGCCGGGGCGGGTCGCTAGTACTAAATAAGGTTACTAAAATTTTGTACAATTACTATTTGGATTATTTGGACGGCAAACGTGCAGACGGATTACCTGATGGTAAGCAATCAATGCCGCCCATGGACATCACAACAACAGAGGCGTTTTGAGGATTAGGGATTTGAAGAATTTTGGGATTGTGGAGGGGAAGGATTGGGCTTGGGGTGATTAATTAGAAAGATGTTGCAAATAAATATAAACATTAAGAAGAATTACATCGAACATGCGAAAAGCGTTACTGCGACCTCGGCCCAGAGCAGGAAAAGGAACAGGAGGGTTTTTAGTCAGCATGAGTCTGACACTCCCTCCCGCCCGGCCTTGGGCGGGAGAAGTCATATGATGATTTTCCCCTCACAAAAAAAAGCTCCCGAAAAGCGCATCTCGATAAAATAACACAAAATGTCAGTCTCTACTAAAATTTAGTTAGTAACAATTTACACGCTTCACAGACGATATGTAGATCTACAATCTACAGAAATACAAAGTAACATCCATATTTCACCACTTTCGTGAAACCTCGAGCGAACGCCGGCATTGGCGCACATATGTTCTTCTATTGAAAGATTTATTGTGAAGCCAATCTATGTAATAAACGAAAAATCATCAAATGACTTCTCCCGCCCAGGGCGAGGTGAGAGGGAGTGTCAGACTCTTACTGACTAAAAACCCGCTCATTTCTTCTCCTGCTATTTGCCGAGGCTGCGATACCTTATGTCGCTTGCCCCGCAACCCCGGCTGAACATTATCCCTGTAGGCCCCGTCTCTTTTTTTGTCAGGAGAAAATTATCAAATGACTTCTTCCGCCCAGGTTTAGGCGAGAGAGAGTGTCAGACTCTTACTGGCTAAACCCCCCTCCCCCCCCGTTCCTTCTCCTGCTCTGGGCCGAGGCCGCTCATTGCGCTTACCCCGCAACCCCGGCTGAACATCAGCCCTTTAGGGCCCCATCTGTGGTGGTCTATTGACTTTTTAAGGCAAGTGCGACCATTTTTTTAATATAAAGTAACTTGCAGAATACTTACAGGTGCAGCGAAGATTTGCGCCAATCTGTCTTCTGGTTTCACTCCCTTCTTGCTTCTTAGAAGAATATAGATCCTATCCAAGTCTGGGCAGGAGTACAGCAGCTTCTCCACCAGAACCTTACCCATGAACCCTGGAAAGAAGAACAGAATACACAAACTCTCATTACTTTTTTCTTATTTTAATGTTCGATATTTTAGTTCCCCCTTAGTTTTCTTCGTCAAACGACAAGTTGTCACTCGCATCTATTGACTCCCCACGACTCTGATCACCTAGCAGGCGGCCTGCTTTCACAACGTCTTTCAGTCCGTGGTTGCCACTCGAGCACCTTTCTGACCGATCGGCTGTCCTTCAAGAGATATGGCCTGGTGATTGCCACTACAGCCTGCAGGTTTTAGGATGATTGCTTATCATCATGACAAATCGGTTCAAAAAGAATGGAAGAGAAAGGAGTTATAGAAAGAGGTTGCTCTGACACCAAACAATTTTGCATAAGGAGGACGAGGAAGAAGATTCTTTGAGAGGAATTAAAGGAAGAGGTTGCGGTGATTGATATTAAGAACACGAATTTTGAGAAGGACTGTTATTAAAAAGTATGATAGAAAATTGTTTTAGTAAATTTTTTTGTCTTTTTCAGTATTGAAAACTAAAACTAGGAAGTGCTTCAATTGAAAAAAAAATGTGATTTATATTAATTTCAAATATTTGCATATTTATTGGAAAACAATTAATTACTAATGACGTATTATTTAAATTTTATGTTACATTAATATGCCTAATATTGCTAATTTTTTAATTCTTTTCCTGATAAATGTACATAAATTTATACTCACTCAAAATTTTATTTGATAACCGAAAAAACATTGGTACCTTTTACTTCCTGTGTATATATTTTTTTTTAATATATGTTTGTTTATACATTCTACCTATACATACCTAATAATCACATCTATAAGTGCCCACTGCTGAGCAAAGGCCTCTTCTAACACAGTGAAAGTTTTAAAATTAATCACTACACATGCTCAAGGCGGATTTTATGAATAAATCGCCAATTTAGAAATCTATGTGATAAATGCTCAAGCCTTCTCCGTGTGAGAAGATGCCTCTAATCTACAGTGGGCACTTATACACTGATCATGTATATAAGCAGTTGCCTCAATCACTAAACCAAGAAGACAATTAACGTAAGTAAAAATAAAAAATGAACCACTGCATTTCATACAGTCTGACCCATCCCCAACCAGGGCGAGAGAAGCTATTTAGTGACTTTTACCCATCATCAATAGTGTTTCCATGATACACAAGACGTTATGGAGTCTGTATCAGTAAGTAGGAGCTAACGAAGCGATATAATATTAAAGGCCTAATTACAACACTCGCAGAAAACCGTGACGCAACACCAACTTCGTTTCGCCGTATGAGTTGGGTTACCGGACGCCTAGGCGATTCTCACACTGCCCCGCATGGTGCAGCGTAGCGCGTGGATGCGTGTTCTTCCGTTGCTTGTAAGTACCTCCATTTGTATGGAAAACACGCACAGTCTAACACACAGAAAATGCATCCACGCGCGTTCATGCGAATCACGCGATACACGCGGAGTAACATGCAACCCCGCGCGTAGGTGCGGGGCGAGACGCAAGGTATGGCACACCGAATCCCGCAGCGCCGCGCGTGATTTTGAACAGTTGGTTGGTTGTACCCAGTATCTTATATATTATTGTAAGCACGATTTGTTATAATTTGACCGTACTAAAACAGTATAATGGCAGTGTACTGAATGAGTTCCACACCATTTTTATCAAAACTATCGTGATGCTCAGTACTGCAGGACCAATGCGAATAGAGCAAGAGCCGCCGTGCGTGAATCTACAAAACGCAACTTCGCGCGTGAGTGCGCAAAAAACCCGCACGATGATACAGATCTTCACTCCCGCAGGAACGCGTGTAGGTGCGTCGACACGCAATATGCAGCATGATGCGGGGCAGTGTGAAAATCGCCTAATCCTTTCCACCCTCCATTCTCGATCCGGTGTCCTTAAATCCCTAATATTTCCAAGAAGAGACTTTTCTATTACGAGATTTCATGGGCGGTATGCTCGCAAAGGAGGCGGCGGAAAGAGAGAGGCACTAGACGTCGTCGGGAATCGGACCTGCGGCCAACGTAGGGCGCGGTCTGCGAACGATAGACTCGGGGCGTCTAGTCGTCCGACCAGCAGCAGGTCTCGAGGCGGCGGCGCCGTGTTCCACGCGCGCCTTATAGTGGAGTCCTGCGGTCGGGGTAACGGTCGCAATACCGAGGGTTTGCGACGAATGCCTCGGCGATACCCGCCCCTCCAACACATGGGTTGAGGAACACCGGGTTGGTTTTTAGTCAGTAAGAGTGTAACAGTACCCTTCGCCCTTCCCCGAGGGCGGTGGGTCTCCAAGAGGATTTCCCAACCCGACCCCAAAAAAAAAGTCCATGGGCGGTGCTCGTTTACCGACATATGACAAAAAAAGTGTTGGACGAAAAGGTAAAATCCTTGTCCCGATCCCATAATAATAAGGCGCTTTGCACATATCATTGCAACACAAATGGTGACTAACAACTAGTAACTATAATTATTTCAGTGAGACTGACCACTTAACCATATAGCGTTGTTTTCAGACACTGTAATCCAGTTATCGTAACTACTATCGCTTAAAAAACAATTAATTATTTTAAATTTTCTTCGTAACTTATAAGTCATGCATCGGCATGCATGGGCCGGCTCTGCCATGGTGTCACTATATCACGATGTCTTAGAGAAAAGGTATGAAACACAACTTTAGGTGTTTCGCCGTGTGAGTGAGAACTATCTGAAAGCCAATCCTCTCCGTTTCTCTGTTCTAAGTCCAAAATCCCTCAAATCTCTTATCTTCCAAAAGGCCGACAACGCATTTGTAACTTCTCTGATATTGCCAGTCCAAGGCCGAAAGCCGATTGCTTACCACCAGGTAATCAGTCTGCTTGTTTGCAAAAAAGAAAACGTCAATCAAAAAAAAAAATGCGCAAATAGTGCAGCGCAAACTAAAAAATGTTCTACTCTAGTATTGTATCAGATGTCGTGGATGCGTTGACAAACATACAACTTCAATTTCACATACAAATCACAGCCAGACACACGAAACCACAATTTGTGGATCACACAAAGAGTTGTTCGCGACCCGTTGCACAGCAGCGTGTTGCCCAGCCACCCCGCCTGTGCATTCAACCAGTTTTAACCCTGCCTGATCTTAAGTTGCAAAGTCTTTAAGAAATTCAAAAATTGTAAATCAATTGTACATTTGACACCAGCACACACAGCCTTAAGAATAGAGCAACAGAATTTGGAAAAGGTAATATCTTTCCAATCCTTTCCCTCCCCCAATCCCTTCCCAGTCCTAATCCATAATCCCCAAAAGGTCAGCGCCGCACTCGTGACTCTCTGTTGTTGCGGGTGTCCATGGGCGGCGCTGATTGCTTACCATCAGTAAATCCGCTGATCGTTTGCCATCCTTTAACATAAAAAAATCTGAAAATACTACAATTATGGCAGAATTATTCTTCGTGGACGAAGATGAAGGGAAAGACTAGTTCAAAAATATACTTACCCGAGGCTCCACTAATAAATATAGTTTTTCCTCTATAAAACTCCGGTATACTAGGCACGCTACTCAAATCTCTATCTTCCAAAAATCCCATTCTTAAAAACGTAAGAAAAAAAAACAAAAAAAAATTTACAAATTTAAAAATTAAACCTTCAATTAAAGAATAGTTACTGTAACCGTCAACCTACTTTAACGAACTGAATTTGAATCCAATTCTATATTCGATATTTAAATTTCATATTGTTATTGATTATTATAATTTTATTTCAACATAATTAGGTAATTGTTTTATCCAATATGAATTAATTAAGTAGGTATGGTTCCGTTGGCGCGGTACTTGCTTGAATTTACTTATAGTAAAAAACTTTTTTTATGTCTTTTTTACACTTAATATCCTTTAGATTTATTATTTGGAGGTGCAGAAGCTTTTGCAAGACAGCAAATTTTTTGTTAAATCAGGATTCTTACAATTAAATGGGAACATAACAGTTTTTTTCTTCTATAAAAACGTTGTCCCACTCTGGAGTCTTTTCTCCTGTGTCGAGGATTAGCTTCGTCTTAGTCACACATATCCACTTAAACTGTACCTTTAAGTCCTCATCAAGCTAGGCTGAGATGAATATTTAGCAATATACATATTTAAAAATTTCATCACTTTTGTGACAATCTAGCAGCCGATTACCTGATGGTAAGCATACAGCGCCGCCCATGGTCACACGAGAAGTTAGTAGTGTAACTCCTATAGCTACACTTGTGAGCTGGGGTGTGTTTTGAGAATAAGGTTTGGTAGATTTAGGGACTAAGTGGGATAGTGGGGGTGGAAGACCTTCGGTAACCTCATTCACGCGTAGAAACATCGCTGTCGTTGTCATGTTATATCCCATATGTGAGTTTATATTGGCGGTTGTCGGTTTTATTCACAACTGAACAGTACACCAATAACACTTATGACTGAAAAATTTGGAATGGACCTAATACTGAACCCTGCGGTAAACCTATTGTTATGCAAATCCTGAGTTTATTGCCTTTACTTCTTTTTACTTTCATTGATGGCCTATGGTGGGTGGTGGTGGTTCTTTACTTCTGATCTGACTTTAAGAGCTATGCTTGAAGTGTCTTTTCGCAACAACATTCGAAATAGTGAAATATGCAAAAAAAAATGCGTGTAAAATCTGCAAGCTGAAATGGCAATGGGCAAGCCACGTTCGGAAAGTGTTCTAGTCGCGACCACGAACCGGAAAGTGTAGCGTGGGCAGGCCTCCGGCTAGGAGGAACGACGGCATCGTCAGAATCGCGGACTACAGGAGAAGTATTTGTTCAGCAGGGGACGTCTTCTGTTTTGATAATGATGATGAATACTACTAGACATATTTTTTTGCATGGCTAACACAGGACCGGCTTGGTGTCACCCCTCATTCAAACTCAAGATGTCCCTTGACAGTCAACAGTTCTCAGTTCTCAGTAGGCAATTATTTCACATTGTGCGTTTCAAATGAGGATTCGGATTACCTGATGGTAAGCAATCGGCACCCCCATGGACACCTGCAATACCAGATGAGTTACAAGGCGTTTTATTCTCTTAGAGAATATCAAAAATGACAAAAGACATATTAAATTGAATGTAATATTAACAAGAAGTACTACTAACTAGTCTACATTTTTAAAACTACATAAAACGTTTAAAAGACTGTATTTAAAAAATAATGCATAATTAAATAACAGGCAACTTCAGAACAAATGCAACGTTGGTCAAAAAGAAAAACGAGCTACCATTACTTAGCTACGAAGCAATTGTTTGTATATTGTCAGCAAAGATGATTACAAATATCTAGCTCAAATTACCGCATATGTGTGCGATACATACTGCACAGTACAAGCGTTACTTAAATCCTATTATTAATGTTATAAATGTGAAAATTTGTGAGAATGTATGGATTTACGTTTTGTATTGTTATTCTTTCACGCGAAAAAGGCTGGACGGATTTGGTTGAAATTTGTAATGTACCTAGATAGGTGATATTCTTGAAATCTCCTAAAGTGTGGAAGAGTCAAGCTTCGGCACGAATGGATCGGCTCGTCCGGAGTGATACCACGGCCTCAGAGAAAACCGGCGTGAAACCACCACAGCGTTCCAAAACCCTTGTCCTTAAAAGGCCGGTGACACACTCGTAACTCCTTTGGCGTTGCGAGTGTCCATGGGTGGCGCTGATTGCTTACCGTCAGGTAATCCGTGGAATATGATAATATGTACCTTTGTATTGTATATTATTATGTATACGTATAGTCTGTGATATATATATATATAAAACATATTTATTGTATTTATATAATGTATAGGTATACATATATTTATATTTATTGATATATGTATATGTATGAGCAATAATTTTGTAGCATGTGTTTTTTTTTCTTTCCTTATTTTTATCAAAAAGATGCACCTACCACTCCTATTTCTCCACCACCCAAAGGTAGACTGGCAGAGAACGCCTAAGGCGTTAAGTCCGCCATTGTACGTTGTGCAAGAAGTGTGAAATAAATAAATAAATAAATAATCCGTTTGCTCGTTTGTCGACGAGCTGCTCATGAATAAGTTTTCAGATGTGATTTTCCTTTCCCAAAAATTGTTTTTTTTATGGTATAGCATTCGTATAGTATAGCGCGGAACGCTACGCAACGCACGCTGGGGTCTAGTTCTGGTCAGGCGGCGAGCTACCCTTGCTCGCCGTCCACAGACCTACGCCGATGGACACGTAAAGGTAGCCGAGGATCGTCGTTAGATCCCCGATGCCTGGAGTGTTGCCTACTGCGGCAGCTCGGCTGGTGCGGGAAGAGGATAGTTCTCTCATGCGCTCCGCCTCCTATGGTATGAAAATATCAATCCGGTCAAACCGACCTATTTGCCGAATCATGGTTCTTCCAGACTCAAAATGACGTAGATTCGAATCAGACTTGATTCAAAGTTGGGTTTTTTATTGTCACTTCAACAAGCTACGTATTTGAGCTACATGGGTGTTTTAATTTTTTTTTCTTATGAAATAGGTCGGTGTACGAGCGAGCGGAATACCTGATGGTAAGTAATCAGCGCCGCCCATGGACACCCGTAAATGGAGTAGTTACTAGTGTGTTGCCGACCTTTTTGGGATAAGGGATTTGGAGATTTTGGGATTGGGGGAGGGGAAGGATTGGGCCTCCGGTAACCTCACTCACACGGTGAAACACAACGCTGAAGCAAGCTAGCTTTAGAAAAGGTTATAAAGAAATAAATTGACAGTTTCGATTATACTGTTTATTCTAAAAGCCTCAAGGTCAAAACAACACAAATTATTTCCTAGATTTAAGTACTAATCATTTATTAATTTGTTAAGAATGATTGGATATAAGAGATATCAGGTTTTGAATGCAATTCAAGTTCAGGAACCACCAGAATAAAGTGCTGTAGAACGCTATCTGCACTATGATGTCCACGACCACCATTCTGAAAGTAGAAAAACAAAGATTTTTGTAACTTCAAGTTTGACTTTCAATTTTAAGCTTTGACATTTAACTTTTAAGCCTTTGACTTTGAATTTCAGCTTTTGTAACTTTGTCAAAATCAAAAGTTGAAGAAGTTGAAAACTTTCGATTTTGACGTTCAACTTCCAACTATTGATTTTGACATTCAACTTTCAACTTTTGATTTTGACGTTCAACTTCCAACTATTGATTTTGACATTCAACTTTCAACTTTTGATTTTGACATTCAATTTTCAACTTTTGATTTTGACATTCAACTTTCAACTATTGATTTTGACCTTCAACTTTCAACTTTTGATTTTGACATTCAACTTTTGACTTTGACTTCCAACTTCTGTCTCGGAATTTCCACTTTTGATTTATGACTGTCAAAGTTTGATTTTCAACTCTTGACTTTTACTTTCAATGTTTATCTCTGACTTATGAATTAAGCTTTACATTTTTGACGTTATTATTCAACTTTGACAGTAACATAAATAGTCATTTTGACTATAAAAAAACGCACCTGTTATAATGTCTCTTAGCTTTCGGCATATCTTCATCCTGTTCTTTCAAAAGGTACTTCTTGCCACCTTTGACTGCGTTCACAAAATATTTGTACTGATCGACATTTTCCATTTCATAGTAAAATTGTTTTTTGTCCTCATTTTTTATTCTGGACCTCATGAGTACTAGGTTTTTGTTGTCAAATGTCCATTGCTTCGTTATATAGTACATTAAAGCCAGGTTTGCTATGTAGATGCGTCGTTGGATTTTGACCAGCCTGTGTAACAGATAAAAAATCACATTAACTTAAAGACGACAGGGTATCAGTACATAATATAAGACAAAGTCGCTTTCTCTGTCCCTATATCTCTATGTATGGTTAAATCTTTAAAACCACACAGATGATTTTGATGCGGTTTTTTTATTAGATACTAGCGGCCCGCCCCCGCTTCGCACGGGTTTAACTATCTCGCTATCAAAGTGACACTTTTTCCTAATCTTCCCCTATCTACTTTTCATATATTTTCTTTGATAAAAACCTTCTTCTGACAATAACAAACCCAACGAAAAAAGAATTAGCAACATTGGTCCAGGCGTTGTTGAGTTATGCGACACATTTTGCGATCCATTTTAAACCGACTTTTTATATATAAGAAGATAAAGGTTTATATGTATGATGACATTCATTAAACAGTGGAGAAATTTAGTATAATCAATGCACCCGTGTGAAGCCGGGACGGGTCGCACTGAAATCACGCGTCCCAGAGACATGAATGATTGTCTTGGATCCCGTAACGAAATAAATCAGAAGATATTATTTAAACTAAATAGTTTCTACTTCCCTCGGTAAATTTTATGCAGGAGACAGAATGACTTAAGCCTTGAAGACATTTACAGAAAATGTTACATTCTAAATTTGTACCACCGCCTACTTCTATGATAATTGTAAGGTATAACTACAGAATAACTTACATTGGCTTTCTCCCCGCTAACCAAAGGATAGTATCCACCAAAATCGCTGGTAGAAGATGAAGGAATATCACCTAAAAGAAAAAATAGAAAATATTATTAGAAACATTGTTTTATGTAAAACGCTGTAAACCAGCTGATGAGTGGACTGATTCGCTAACGGTAACCATCGGTGCCCCCCTGGCTACCCACTACTTCAGAGGAGTTGCAAGTGAGTGGCCGACCCTATGGAATGTATATTGTAATCTAGAGATTCAGATATTGGGCCTCCGGTAACCTCACTCACACGGAGAAACACAACGCTGTGGTTGTTTCACACCGGTTTTCTGTGAGGCCGTGGCATCCCTCTGGTCGTGCCGACCCGTTCTACAATAAGCAAGTCTTTTGATCGTATTGAAGGCATAGTATCACCACTACCATAATACGATTAACTATCCGAACTTCAGTCGCGAAATGGTTTTTCAATTCGTTAATATCAAGCGAAATGATGTTACTAGCTGTTACCCTATGTGTATTGTGTATGTTAGAGATGCGCTTAAGTACTGAATTTTTTATATTTGCCCTATACTGGGATTTTCTCCTGTGACGTAGGTGCGTTTACAAACATACAATTTCACATACACTTTCCACCCAAACCTCTTGCTCGTTCTTCTCCATAGGAATCTACACTTTGGAACGAGCAAATAGCTTCACTAGAGGACAGACGGACAGACTGACACGCTTAATTTTAAAGCTCTTGTTATATACTTTTTTCCTTTTTTTGCTTGCTTGACGTTCAAAAGTGCCTACTGTGGTCTAATTGAAATAAATGATTTTTGACTTTTGACTTTTAAGACCCGGAACAACAATTTATGGATCACACAAAGAGTAGCTGGAGTGGAGCATGAGAGAGAGAGAGAGAGATATATATATATATATATTTGGCTATAGAACCCTAATAGTCATTTTATAACTAAAATATAATTTACCTTGATATAATGTATGGTCTTCGACTTCGTCAAATCTCCACCAGGGGTCCAGAGCATATCGTTGACAGGTACTGATGGGTAAATCTGTCGTCCCATAGCAATCATCTGCCCCATAGTTATATTGTTCAGTTTACCAGCACAGCAATTGTAGATGGGTACGTCATCAGTTGGAGACAGTCTGGAGAATGGAAAAAACAATTATTATACATCATCATCGTCCTGACATATGATTCAGATATATCGTAGTTATGATCTGGAGGTTAAGGCGCCCGGCTTTAAAACATCTTGAACAAACCATTTTTGTGAGTGGAAAATCATCAAATGACCTCTTATTGACTAAACCCTACCCCCCCTCCCCCAATCCTGCTCTAGGGCCGAAGTCGCGGTGCCACATTGCGCTTACCCCGCAACCCCGGCTGAACATCAGCCCTGTTGGGCCCCGTCTGTGGTGGTCTATTGGCTCTTTGAGGCAATCTTGAGGATCCGAATGCTCTAACCATCTCCGTCTAAGAAGAGGTCTTTGCCCAGCAGTGGGCACTTTTAAGCTGATGTATGTATCTTTGCCTTACATTATATTATAGAAGTGTATATAGGTCATTATATAATTATGTTGTGTCAGCACCATTGTCTGTGAAACTCAAAGTCAAGGTCAAAGCATGATCCTATGAAACGTCAAAATTGATTTGTCCGTCAGTCGGTCCGTCAGTGAAGCTAGGTGCTCATGCTCATTCTCAAAAAAGAGTAGAGGGATTGTAACCTCACTGAAACCACCCCGCAGTACACCATCAACAACCAATATCTAAGGGCACCGGATCCTCTTAAAGGACCAACTACAGAGTAATAGGACTATCTAGAAGACCAATTGTTGAACATTCATCCACTTACTCCTTAGTTCCTCTTAACCAGGAAGCGACAATGAAGCTCTTGATGGAGATGTCCACAGGCATGTAATCAGCTACCAGGTCAGGGTCTGTGTACATGCTTCTTAAGATACCTGCAAATGTATAAAGACATTCGATCATCATTATCATCATCAGCCTATAGGTGCCCACTGATTTTTGGCAAGCTTACAATTAAATGCCATGCTTTTTCAGCACGAATGAGCAGGCTCAGCCAGCTCCAATATTTCAACCTACTCAAAACCCAAACTTCCAAAGGGTCAAAAATTGACTCCCCCGGTAATTGGGGTTGCCTGGGGTGACTGTCTATACTAATATTATAAAGAGGTAAAATTTGTAATTTGTATGTTTGTAAGTTTGTCTGTTTGTAAGTTTGTATGTTTGTAAGTTTGTATGTTTGTAAGTTTGTATATTTGTAAGTTTCTAAGTTAGTAAGTTTGTATGTTTGTAAGTTTGTGTGTAGGAGGTAATCTTTGGAGCCGCTGGTCGGATTGCCAAAATTCTTTCACTGATAGATAGCTACAATGTTCCTAAGTGCTATAGGCTATAAAACATCAATATACGATCAAATGGAGCTGAGCAGTGGGTGAAACCGCGCGAGAATAGCAAGTTTATCATAAAGTGATGGAGGAGGATGAGTTGGACCTCTAGTAACCTCACTCTCGCTACGTACACACAATCCAAGCGTTCTTTCTTTTCCACAAGTCACTCTTTCTCACACTCTAACTCACCTTTCCCACAAGCCGCGAGCAGGGCTGCGGGTCCATTGAAGTTCTCAATCCAACCTGGTACAGGCTCTTCAACGCTGGATATAACTGGAAAAATACGAAAAAAATTAATATCACCCTTGATATTTTTGTCAAAATGGCATAGTTTCCTATTAAAGAATCGGTTCGAATAGAAACAAAAAAAGTTATACCTATATACGGTAAAATTGGGTTGTCATATGCACGAAGCGATTCGCCTTTTGTTTTTTTTTTTTATCAGAACCGCTGAGCTGTGGAATTATTTGCCGGAGTCAGTGAAACTTTCTGTAAATTCCTAATCCCCAAAAGGCCAGCAGCGCACTCCTCTGGTGTTGCAGGCTTCCATAGGCGGTGCCAATTGCTTACGATCAAGTGATATGTAAATGCTAATTTGCTTAAAGCTTACCGATGGAAGGTCTGATGATCACAATGGGAAGAATCCCTTTATACTCGGCTACTACATTCTCTGCCAGTTGTTTTGAAAACGTATAAGTGTTTGGTAGCTCTCCTAAATATCTAAAACAGAAGAAAATATATCATTTAATTGAGAAGTGTCGATGGTTTGTAGGTAATAATACACTTGGTGGAGTTCCGCAAATTTTTGCTGCGGGCCTGAGTGATGCATATGTGCAATTGTATATTTGTTACCGCACTCACAACACAGGTAAAATACTCGTTTGGAGCAACGTAAAACAAAAAAACTCATCTTGTTTTCGTTCACTGCAGTCCACTCACTAAACAATCTCATTGGTACTTAAGAGGTTTTGAAACCTCACGAATGGGAAGCGCCTCATCAGCCTGCCTATATATCTCCAAACCCCAAATCGTGGGGTTGCGGTGTAAGCGCAATGAGGCACCGCAACCTCGGCCCAGAGCAGGAGAAGGAACAGGGGAGTTTTTAGTCAGTTAGAGTCTGACACTCCCTCCCGCCCGGCCCTGTGCGGGAGAAGTCGTTTGATGATTTTCCCCTCACAAAAAAAAACCCCAAATTGTCAAATCTCTAATCCCGAAAAATCTATGATCGGCGCCGGTTGCTGAACATCAGGTGATCTGTCTGTTCTTTTGCCCAAAAATTTAATGGACAGAAATATCCAAGAAGATGATGATAATCTTACTTCGGAGTTAGCACCTTCAACGTATGAGAGTCAACGGTCTCGCAGATATGAAGGGTCTCCCTCCAGTCTGCGTGGGGAGGGTAAAGGATCTCTTCAAGGGTCTCCCTATTGGTGTTGGAGTACGAGGTCGATACGTGGATGAAGACCTGGAATTATAACCGTTCCAGTTAATAACTGTCACAAGATATTTTAAAAACTGTAAGAAGTGTTTTTCAGGAATGCTAAATATTAGGCAGGCAGGCAAAAATAACAAAAACATGCTTAAATAATAATTGAATTAACCACCCAACCAACGTCCTGAATCAATAGTCGTTGGATTTTCGGAACAGAAGAAGGGAAGGGGTGGTTTTAGTCAGTAAGAGTCTGACACACCCTCTCGTCCGCGAAAAGGCATTGGATGTTTTTCCCCCTCAAAAAATTGTGATATCACATACGCAGGCACGCATATGCACACATATATTGTTCTGCGATCTGATCTGATTGCAATTCAAGATAGGACTCCTGAACGTCGACAGTCATACCTTTAAGTTTCTGATGTCTGCAGCCAGTTCCACCATCTCCTTAGTACCACGGAGGTTCATACGGATTGCGTACTCCAGGGGATCGTCGAACCTGGAAAAAAGAAAAAATCATTTGTGATAAATATCAGAAAAAGCATTTTTTTATGTAAGGTAGAAAGGCAGTATTAAATTCGACAATCGTACTCGAACCCTATGATGGGCATTTATACTTGGAAAGTCATAATGAACGAGGCAGTCTATACTTGAATCCAAATGTATTATAATCAGCACCGCCCATGGACTCCCGCAACGGAGAAGTTACGAGTGCGTTGCCGACCTTTTCGGGATTAGGGTTTTGGAGATTTAGGGATTGGGAGGGATCGGAGGAAGATAGGATTGGGCCTCCGGTAACCTCACTCGCACGGCGAAACACAACGCTGTGGTTGTTTCGCGTCGGTATTCTGTGGGGCCGTGGTATCACTCCGGTCGAGCCGACCCATTCGTGCCGAAGCTTGGCTCTCCCACACTTAATTGATACACACATATTATGAGAGGGGTATATCATCAAATGGCTTCTACCGCCCTAGGTGACCAGCCCGTTCCTCCTCCTGCTCCTAGCTGCGATACATTATTGGGCTAACACACCCGCAACCCTGGCTAAGTCAATGTCTTACATTAGTCTTACAGGGATTAATGTAAACCACTATGGCGATGGTAGGACGAATCTTGAATGCTTTTTGACATGTTACCGGAGGAGGTTACCGGAGGCCCAATCCTTCCCCTTCCCCAATCCCTCCTCAATCCCTAAATCTCTCTCTAAAAGGTCGGCAACGCACTCATAACTCCTCCGTTGCGAGTGTCCATGGGCGGCGGTGATTGCTTACCATCAGGTAATCCGTCTGCTCGTATGCCGCGCTATTACATAAAAAAAAATGTGAGATGGTCATGACTTTCAAGGTAGATGGACTGGAAAAACTTGGCACAAAATGCTATAATTTTTTATAAGGCTTCACATACCTGACGCTGGCTGCCACATGGTACACAATGTTGACACGATTGACGATCAATGCGCGATCCTCTTCAGAAATACCTGAATAAAACATAACATACGTCACAAATACGACCAATTGAATAAACACGGATAAAAAATCCCTACGTACAACTGCTGGGCAATAGCCCACTAGTCTGATCGTCTCGCCTGCTTGGAGGATTCTCTTTCTGATCTTAGGGAGCTAATCTCTCCGTTCTCTAAACATTAACAACGCATTTACAAAATTTGCCAAACCATAAAGTCAAAGCAAATATAGTTCGTCAGTAAAGCTAGGTGACATATATGTAAGTGTTCAAATATTATTTTATCGTGCATGGCAGTCATCATGATTAACAAGTTTAAATTTAAAACTCACCCAAACCGAGTTCCATAACATCTCCAGCGATCACGAATACTTTTGACTCGAAGCCAGGTCTCTCTTTGCGGAGTCTGTCAAATAACTGAAATACAAACATAAACATTAGCTCATAACGATACTTAAGTACGTGTGTCGCATGGACATCCGTGTTGACTGGACATCTTCACTACATGAGCTGCTGTTTACATGTGAACATTAGCTCATGACGATACCTAAGTACGTGTGTCGCCTGGAAATCCGTGTTGACTGGACATCTTCACTACATGAGCTGCTGTTTACATGTAAACATTAGCTCATGACGATACCTAAGTACGTGTGTCGCCTGGACATCCTTGTTGACTGGACATCTTCACTACATGAGCTGCTGTTTACATGTGAACATTAGCTCATGACGATACCTAAGTACGTGTGTCGCCTGGACAGTCAGCCTCGCTACATCCTTGTTGACTGGACATCTACACTACATCAGCTGCTGCTTCCACAGCATTGTGTTCGCCGTGTGAGTGAGGTTACCGGAGGCCCAATCCTTCACCTCCCTCAAGCCCTAAATCTCCAAACCCCTAATCCCCAAAAGGTCGACAGCGCACTCGTAACTCCTTTGTTGCGGGTGTCCATGGGCGGCGCTGATTGCTTACCATCAGGTAATCCGTCTGCCCGTTTGCCGAACTATTACATAAAAAAAATAAGCTAGTTTTCCTTTCATTAACAAAAAAAACATATGAACATTGCTCATGTCATACGAAACAAGGTTATGACGTAGTTGAACCGCTGAGTAAGTAATTATAATCTGTGCAATGGTCAACAAGTGACTTGACACTGCCACAATCGTACTTTCCTTGATTGACATTACAGTAAATCAATGAATCAGTCTTGTTTTGAATTAGGTATTTTATTTTCAACTAGCGACCCGCCACGACTTCGCATGTTTGCAATGTCGATACTACATTTTTCTACTATGTAATGGATATTATATCTATACATATATTATAAAGAGGTAAAATTTGTAAATTTGTATCTAGGGGGTAATCTTTGCAACCGCGGGTCGGATTGCTAAAGTTCTTTCACTGATAGATAGCTACAATGTTCCTGAGTGCTATAGGCTACAAAACATCACGCTACGATCTAAGGAAGCCGAACAGCGGGTGAAACCGCGTGGGAATAGCTAGTTATACATATAAACTCTATCTATAAAAAACCGCATCAAAATCCGTTGCATAGTTTTAAAGGTTTAAGCATACATAGGAATATAGGGACAGAGAAAGCGACTTTGTTTTGAGCTGAGCAGTGGATGAAACCGCGCGAGTAGCTAGAGTTAGTATAAATAAATGGTTTGCTTAGTTACTTCAAGTGTATATGTCGTTATAAATAACACTAGGTAGGTATGTAAGTCTACAAGATTTAGCAGTATTATTAAAATAAAATATCAAATTACTAAATTATAATTAAATTTCCTCTATTGAAACAAATCCATGGACATGTCTATACTAATATTATAAAGAGGTAAAATTTGTAAGTTTGTATGTAGGGGGTAATCTTTGGAACTGTTGGTCGTATCGGATTCCCAGGTTCTTTCACTGATAGATAGCTACAATGTTTCTGAGTGCTATAGGCCATAAAACATCACGCTACTATTAAATGGAGCTGACCAGCGGGTGAAACCGCGTGTGAGTAGTAGTTATTTTTTTAAGCTCAAATTTCCATAAAAATATTAAATTTGTTAAGCCGTAATTTTGATGGCCTCTGCTCAGCAGTGGGCACTTATAGGCTGATGATTTGTGAAGAGTCTGACCCTCCTTCTCGCCTCAGCTACTTGTATTATCAAGTCACTAACTGCTTAACCTTCATTATCTTTTCAATAGATATACTTATATAGTTGTTACGTAAATACAAAACGAACTAAATTACTAAAACAATTCCGTTCAACGACAATAATGTCAAATTTGTCTATTGTACCTTTGTTCTTGAAACAGTTTTCTTGGTTTTTGACATTTGACATTTATTGACAATCGGACTTATAGTACGTAGGTACTTGCCTAATATAGAATAAATAAATAATTAACAATGATAATACAATCTGTTTGTTTACTTAATGCTAGTATTGTATTACCCTACTCTTTCAGCAGGTGTGTGACACCCGATAAATATCCAAACTAAAATTATAAATGCAAAAGTAACTCTGTCTGTCTGTCTTTTCTTTACGCCTAAACTACTGAACCTATTTGAGTGAAATTTGGTACAGATATAGTTTGAAACTCGAAAGAGGACATAGGATAGTTTTTAAACCAAAAATCTGCAGGAAGTCACTATGTCACGAACAAAGTCGCGGGCAAAAGCTAGTGCTACATATTTGACACAAGCAATGAGAGCGCTCTATGATAACCCTGAGCCTTTCGAAGATCTCCAACTAGCCTGCGAAGTTTGGAGATTTTGGCAAACTCTCCTTGAAGTGAAGAAAGCCCATAACAAGGTGATGATGATGATTGTCCAGTACATCAAAGTCAAAGTCAAAAATCATTTATTTCGATTAGACCAAAGTAGGCACTTTTGAACGTCAAGCAAAAAAAGAAAAAAAATATTTCAAGAGCTTTAACTTTATGCGTGTCAGTCTGTCCATCATTCCTCTAGTGAAGCTATTTACTCGTTCCAAAGTGTAGATTCCTATGGAGAAGAACGAGCAAGAAACTCCATGGTTACTATTTTTCTATCAGTTTTACAATAAATTTTTTTCTTGCTTCATTTAGTCGGTTCTGATGTGTGAGAACAGTGTAACACTAATGTTTAGGCAAAGAATTCGAAAAAGAAGTTAACCTCAAGGATATCATATTTAGACAGCCTGGAGATGACCAGTTCCAATCAATGGTAAACAATCGGTACTGCCTATAGGTACGGCCAGCAGCAAAATCAGGGCTTAGAAGAGCATGGCTCGAAGAATCGGGGATAGGAGGAGGCTTGGACGTACGACAATCTCACTCACACACGAAGTAACTATTTAGTAATCCGTACTCATTTGGATTACCTGGTGGTAAGCAATCAGGGTAGCCCATGGACACTTGTAATACAAAAGTTGTTACTACAAGTGCGTTACCGGCCTCTCGTTGGTTATTAGGGATTTAAGAATTAAGGATGGTGGGAAAGGATTGAGCCTCCGGTAACCACACTCATGCTACAAAACTCCGCAAGGGATTTTCCACTCTGGGTTGGTTATGGTATCGATCCCTTCAAACCAGCTCATTCGATCCGAGGTATGGCTCTCAGTAGCATCATCGTAATAGCCATAAAGGCCACACCAAAGACGTCCAAATAAGCCGTTATTCATGTGTCAGCTTTAAGAAATTACTTACAGGTGCAGCGAAGATTTGGGCCAATCTGTCTTCTGATTTCACTCCCTTCTTGCTTCTCAGAAGAACATAGATCCTATCCAGGTCTGGGCAGGAGTACAGCAGCTTCTCCACCAGAACTTTGCCCATGAACCCTGGAAAGAAAAACAGAGGTACTTCGTAATTTTATATTTTTAAGTGATAACTGCTCATACGACTTTTTACATATTCAGACAGTTTCTTTTTTGTAAAAAATATTTACTTTTAGGAATCCGTTTTTTTTTTTATTTGTCATAGGCCTGCATACGAGCAGACGGATTACCTGGTGTTACGCAATCAGCGCCGCCTATAGACATTCGGGATACCCAAGGAGTGACAAGTGACTTTCCGGCTTCTTGTGGATTTTTAGAAATTTAAGGCAAGGCAGGAGGATTGAGTATGGGAATGGGGAAGGATTGGGCCTCTGGTAACCTCACTCACACGGCGAAACACAACGTAAATGTAGTTTCACGCCGGTTTTCTGTGAGGCCGTGGTATCACTCCGGTCGAGCCGACCCATTCGTGCCGAAGCTTGGCTCTCCCACACTTAGAATATAGAAATAATACCTACAACTAACCTAATTCATTGATTTTAAAACGTAATCAACTTTCTTATAATTCTGGCAAATTTTAAGTAGGTAAGTATGTATGTAGGTAGGTAATTATTCTTTTCTTAGGTAATTATTCAAACAAAACGTGACTCTACATAGGTCATAGAGAAAGTTGTTGATTAGAACAAACTGTTAGTTGCCAAGGTCAAAAAATAAATTATTTAGATTACGTCATATTCAAAACAATGAATTATTAAATATAATCAATCACACTGTCATTCATTGATTTGACAATATTATTATGCTTAAGTTTGGTTTTTATTATGGTACACCCCGGCTTCGGCCACGTGGTATGCTGATAAAAAGTAGTCTATGACCTATTCCGGAGTGTATCCTATGCCCGCGCCAAATTTCATACCGATCCGTCCAGCCGGTTTGGCGTGATTGAGTAACAAACATGCAAACATCGTTACTTTCGCATTTATAATACTCCTTAGTATGATTAGTAAAATTTTAATAGAATATTTTTACTAGATATTGTTCCCAAACACCTAAGTATGCTATTTGAAATAAAAATATTATGACGTCATATGTTTTTTGTGAGGGGTCAATAATTAAAAGCCTTGAGCGGGAGGGAGTGTCAGACTCTGGATGTTCAGCCAGGGTTGCGGGGTAAGCGCAATGAGGCACCGCGGCCTCGGCCCAGAGCAGGAGAAGGAACGGGGGCGTTAGCCAGTAAGAGTCTGCCACTTCGCCTCGCCTCAGCCTGGGCGAGCGAAGTCATTTGATGATTTTCCCTTGACCGTAAAAAAGCCGTTCAAAACTCCTTTGTTCCTTCTCTTGCTCTAGGCCGAAACTTCTGTAAAATTCTGTAATGTTTCTCGTCTCCTCATCCCCAATCCTACAAAATTGGATATCCCTTACCACCATAATGCTGGCAACGCACTCTTTTACCAGTGCCCTCACGATCAGGATTTACTACTTAAAGGAAATCGCTTGTAACATTTCAAAATAAGTATTATATTCGACTACTAGTTGTTATATCGTGGTGCCTCAGAGATTAAGGTGCCCGCTTCTCATACATGAGGTTGCGATTTCGAAACCTGGCAAAGTACCAATGTGACTTCTTTCCGTGTTATATGTACTTACTAAGATTATTTAGACACCACTTACATACAGTGAAAGAAAACATCGTGAGAAAACCTGGACTTGTTATTATCCAAATCCAAACTAATATTATCCTTATAAATCCGAAAGTAACTCTGTCTGTCTGTCTGTATTTTCATCACGCCTACACGCCTTAATCACTGAACCTATTTGTGTGAAATTTGGTATACACATAGTTGGAACTCGAGAAAGGACATAGAATAGTTCTTTAACCAAAAATCTGCAGGATGTCATTGTTCCACGCCAACAAAGTCGCGGGCAAAAGCTAGTTATTTCTTATTTGAAATTTGAAATCACCAATCCATCTTGAGCAAGCGTGGTGATTAATGCACAAACCTTCTCCGTGTGAGAAGAGGCCTTTGCTCAACAGTTGGCGCACTTAGAGGCTGTATAATGATTGTATTATATTTGACTACCATTTGTAATAGAGCCGCTTGTTTTTGTCATCAACGTCATAATGCATTTCATTTGCATCAGCTAAACAGAGTGCAACGAACTTGTCACCTAACCTAACTTACACACTCGACCTTGTTTGCACGATGCATTTGTTTGAACGAGCGACCCGTCCCGGTTTCAATGCTGATACATAATTAGGTAGTTTCCTAGGTCAAAAATAAATTAATTCGACGTTTCAATACAATAAAATATTGAAAAATAACTATATTTTTATTCATCGATCGATCGATACACTAAGTTTTAGATATTTTTTAGCTAATTTTTACGAAATAAGTAAGCTATTTGACGCAAAAATACCATGACGTCGTAACTCTAAAAATTAATGTTAACACTATAACTTTTAAAAAAAAGTACTTAACATTATCAACTTGTGACCTAAAAATCCCACAAATATAATATTAAAATGTAAATAAATCCCCTAACATGTCTGTCAATCTCAACGCGAAAAACACAAAAACTACTGCACGAATTTACATACGGTTTTCGACAACAGATAGTTCGCTTCCCAAGGAAAGTTTACAAGTGTAAATAATTATAAGTAGTTTTAATTAATTTATTAATTACCTACGCGGGCGAAACCGCGGTCTAATATACTAAACGAGTTGTTTTCGTAGTGTAATTAATTCAAGTCATTACACAATGAGTTTTTAATTATTAATAGCGGGCATTGGAACAATCCTATTCAGAGGTTACTGCTGTCAACTGGGGTTGAGGGTCAAGCGCATTGAGTATTGTACCGCGGCCCCCTCTTACCTAAGCAGCAGAAGGTACGGGATGGTTTGTTTTTTACAGCATACCTTTTTTTGTGAGGGGGAAACATCGATCACTAATACTTTATTAGTGATCGATGGGGGAAAATCATCAAATAACTTCTCCCGCCCAGGGCAGGGAGTGTCAGACTCTTACTGACTAAAAAACCTCCTTGTTCCTTAGGCCGAGACTACGGTGACTTATTGCGTTTGCCCTGCAACCCCGACTGAACATCAGCCCTAAAGGGCCCCGTCTGTGGTGGTCTATAGGCTCCTTGAGGCGCGCACAGAACCGGACATGCCGTACGCTCGGGTCTGGTTCTGATCGGGCGGCGAGCTACCCTTATGCGCTGTCCACAGACCCGCGCTTTTCACCATACCTTAAATTGTATCGTGGGTGCGTCTACAAACATCACATCAACAACAATTTGTGGATCGCACATATCTGGTGTTCTTCCGTGAGGGAATCCCGCAACACGTTATATAGCAGCCAGCCACTACGGCAACCGTGCAATCAATTTTAGTCAGTAAGAGTCTGACACTCCCTCTCTTATGCACCTTGATGATTTTCTCCCCTCATTAAAAAAGAGTTCATCATCATCATCATCATCAGCCTATAAGTGACCACTACTGAGCAAAGACCTCTTCTCACTCGGTGAAGGTTTGAGCATTAATCACCACACTTGCTCAAGGCGGATTGGTGATTTCAAACTCGTAGTTAGAAATTGTAAGTCCAGGTTTCCTTATGAGAGTATTATATAAAGAAAAAAAAACAATATCAATGACCTTTAGACCACACAAACAACAAAGTAATCGATGCTAAGCATTGTTCATATTAATTAGCGCTACACCTTTTAGTCTCTGAAAAAGTAAAAAGGGATTTTCATAAACTATGTGCCAGGTTCACATCTTTCTAGTTTGCAATATACTCAGGAAGATTTTAATCTCGGTATCACATCATCGGCCCATAAGTGCCCACTGCTGAGCCAAGGCCTTTTCTCACACGGAGAAGGTTTGAGCATCAATCACCACGCTTGTTCAAGGCGAGTTGACGATTTCAAACTTATAATACAAATTGTTTCCGTTTTCTCACGATGTTTTCCTTCACCGTTTGCCAGTGTTGTGTAAGTAAACTTAAAAACTTTATACATATAACTAGGGATAGACACATTGGTACTTGCCACTTACTTTAACATCCAGGCCAGTTTATAACTATTAAGTACCATAATGAAGAGTAACAAAAAACAAAAAAAATCTCCAAATTCTTTGACTGATTCGGTATTCCTCGGCAACCACGAACCTACTCGATCAATATCGTCAATACAATTTTAGTCGAGTCAACATTATTAAAAAAAAACTACTCACCCGAGGCTCCACTAATAAATATAGTTTTTCCTCTATAAAACTCCGGTATACTAGGCACGCTACTCAAATCTCTATCTTCCAAAAAACCCATTTTTCAAAACTTACTAAAAACTTAAAACAAAAAAAAATGAAAATTCAAAATTAAAACAGAATAATAAAAGAACACTGCAACCGCCAACGGACTCAAACGGACTGAATTAGAATTCTATATTCGAATTTCAAATTACTTTAGAATTGTATTTCAGCCAATTGTGTATGACATTATATTTTTTTATCCAATAGAAATTGAAACAATAGCGTTAGCTGCGTCTGCGCAAGTTGTCGTCTTTAGTAAATTGATACTTTGATCGTTACTTGAGTTTATTAAGGCGAATACGCTTTTGTACAGTTCATTATTATATTTTTTTATTCTAAATTAACTAAGTAATTCATATTCACGAGATTTTAAGTGTAGGAGAGTCATGCTTGGACACTAATGGGTCGGCTCGAATGGAGTGACACCACGGCCCCAAAGGAAAACGGTGTGAAATCTGTGCTGTGAATCACTGTGTTGTGTTTCGGCATGTGGTTGAGGTTACCGGACGCCTGATGCTACCCGGCCCCCCATTTAATTCTAAATCCCCAAAATCCCTCATCTTCAAAAGGCCAGCAACACACTTGCACAGCTGCAGGTGTCCATGGGCAGTACTGATAATTGATTTAAATCCCTAAAGATTTAATGGTTTGGAGATTGAGGATAGGATGGGCTTGGGTGTTCGATCATTCACACGGCGAAACACAACATAATATCAAGGTATCTTAAATAATTTATTTTAGCCAAAGGCAAATATCCAATTTTAGTACTATAGTGCTTTCCCTTGTTTTAGGGGTGAAAAACATCAAATTAGAAAGAAAGAAAAATATTTTGTTTCAAGCCAAAAAACAAGTGGCATATGCACATGCATACAGGTAATTAAGACATTCTGTTTGGACATATAAATGGATACATGTTCATGTCCCAAATCTCCCGTGAAATGGGAATAACTCACCCTGAGTGGTGCGGGAGAGCGGCTCAGACTCTTACTGACTAAAAACCACCCCGTTCCTTCTCCTGCTATCAGCAGAGGCCGCGATACAACAAACAGAGGCCGTTATACATTAATGCGCTAGACCCAGAACCCCGGAGCGCTTACCCTTAATAAAAAACTTAATCAGCAGTTTCGAAATGATGAGTAAGTATTGTCAGCACAGTTATTTTGAAATGCTACTAATGTACATATATTATTATGGAATAGAAGGCAAACGGGCAGACGGATAACCTGATGGTAAGTGATCGGCGCCGCCAATGGATACCCGCTAAACCAGAGGAGTAACAAACATGTTGGCAGCCTTTTATGAAGGTCGGCTGGACCGGAGTGATACCACGGCCTTACAGAAAACCGGCGTGAAACAACCACAGCGTTGTGTTTCGCCGTGTGAGTGAGGTTACCGGAGGCCCAATCCTTCCCCTCCCCCAATCCCTTCTCAATCCCTAAATCTCCAAATCCCTAATCCCTAAAAGTAGGCAACGCACTCGTAACTCCTCCGTGGCGGGTGTCCATGTGCGGCGCTGATTGGTTACCATCAGGTAATCCGTCTGCTGTTTTACATAAAAAAAGGCCATTTTTGTGTGAAATAATCGCCTCCTACATTTTGAAATATCAAATGTCTTCTCGTTCAGGATGAGACGAAGGGGAGTGTCAGACTCTTACTGACTAAAAACCCCCCCGTTCCTTCTCCTGCTCTAAGGTCGAGGCCGAGGTACTACATTGCGCTTGACCCCGGCTAAACGTGGGCTCTGTTGGGCCCCACCTGTGTGGTGGTCAGTGGGCACTTTAATAGGCTGATGATGATGATGATGATGATGAACTGTCTCTGTACTGAATCACTCTATGTTTTCTGTCCGGCATAACAAATGCTATGCATAATGACCAACCATTATAAGTTGACCTTTAGTTATTATACGGAAAATAACAAACAAAACAATTAAAAAGTTCTTGTGTAACATTCAATGCCGTCTGAGGGTTTATGAATGGATTTATGACTAGCTCTTGTCTTCTCGTGGGTGTGTAAGACCCTAATAAGGGATAGCACGTAGCACGTTTGGTAGGGACCTGCCATCTACAAATTGTCTGCCATGCGTCAAAGTCAAATTAAAGTCAGAGTCTGAGTCAGATTCAAATTCAGACTCAAAGTCAGAGTAAGAGTCAGACTCAGAGTCAAAGTCAGAGTCAGAGTCAAAGTCAAAGTCAGAGTCAGAGTCAAAGTCAGAGTCAGAGTCAGAGTAAGAGTCAGAACCAGAGTCAAAATCATAGTCAAAGTCGAAGTCCAATTCCAACTAAACCATTAATAATTTTTTGAAACGTCAAAGTTGAATAAGTAGTAGTCCGTCAGCCTGTTCATCAGTGAAGCTAGGTGCTCGTTCAAAAGTGTAGATTCGAATGGAAAAGAATGAGAAAGAAACTACAGAGGCAAAAAAAAACCGTAGAAGATACACTTCTACGGTTTTTTTAATATATAAACGTTGCCCCACATAAGGGCTTCCTCCTGTGTCGTGGGTGCGTTTACAAACATACAACTTCACATACCCAGACCCGGAACAACAATTTATGGATCACACAAAGAGTTGTTCCGGCAGGAATCTTGCGCGGCAGCCGAGCCACCATGCCAACCTTGCAGTCAAGTGCAAGTTTAGGAGGTTAAGGTTTATCAGAGAGCGATATTATTATTACCGGATCGGTGTTATTTTAGTTGGGCATGACACACCCCCAAGACGAGAAGCGGTGGTAAAATACTAATACTGCGCTGCCGTTACATCACAGCTACAAACTGCATTAATAACTAAACATTATGTTGCATAATTGCAACCTTGCATTTAACTGAATGAGGAAAAATTAGTAATAGGTTTAGTGGACGCAATTACGGACTGTAGCTACATCATCGCCTTGCAAAATTACATAATATCACGCTTTTGTTATTGTTAAAGGGGTCAGAAGTCGTATTTCACATTTAGATATTTATTTTTAACCGACTTCAAAAAAGGAGGAGGTTCTCAATTCGTCGGAATATTTTTTTATATTTTTTTTTATGTATTTATGTTCACCGATTACTCAAAGACGCCTGGACTATTTGGATTTTTTTTATTTTATGGTATAAGTCGGCAAACGAGCAGACGGATTACCTGATGGTAAGCAATCGGCGCCGCCCATGGACACCCGCAACACCAAAGGAGTTACGAGTGCGTTGCCGGCCTTTTGGGTATAGGGGTTGCGGATATAAGGATCGGGAAGGGATAGCGGAAGGGGAGGGATTGGGCCTCCGATAACCTCACTCACACGGCGAAACACAACGCTGTGGGTTGTTTCACGCTGGTATTCTGTGAGGCCGCGGTATCACTCCGGTCGAGCTCGAAGCTTGGCTCTCCCACACTTTTTGCTTTTTAGTTTACTTTTCGAAATCATTTTTTTGTTTTGTTAAAAATTATTTGATATTTATTTACTAGCGATCCACTCGACTTCGCATGTGTGCAATATACTGATACTAAATTTCTCTTATTTTTCATAAATATAAGCCTTCCTCTTTCTTCAATTACTATCTATTTCGGGGTTGCGGGGTAAGCGTAATGAGGTTTTTTTGTGAGGGGAAATCATGTGACTTCCACGTGTCAGACTCTTACTGACTAAAAACCTTCCTGTTTCTTTTCCTGCTCTAGGCCGAGGTCGCGGTGCCTCATTGCGCTTACCCCGCAACCCCGGCTGAACATCAGCCCTATAGGGCCCCGTCTGTGGTAGTCTATTTGCTCTTTGAGATCCTTCGTTTGCTTAGTATTGCATTAATAGGGGATTTTTTAGTCTTGCAAGAGCACTCAAGACTGCCTACTTCTAAAGGAAGACCTCGATAGGCTATTCCTTTATTGTTCTTCCAACAAACTTCAGCTTAGCTTACCTAAGTGTAACTTTCACCAAAAACAGAAACATTATACAATTTGATTATAGTCTCAATTGTACCCATCTACAAAGAGTTGATCACATTCGAGATCTTGGGGTTGTGATGGACTCGAAATTGCATTTCAATCTCCATGTTGATAACATTGTTAACAAAGCGTATCGTATGTTTGGTTTCGTTATGCGATCCTCAAGCGACTTTAAAAGACCATCTACGTTTCTACTGCTATACAAAGCTTTGGTTCGCTCTCAATTAGAATTTGCAGTCCCGATTTGGAGTCCTATCTTTGATGTTTATATAAAAAGAATTGAAATGGTTCAAAAAAAATATTTACGTGTTATGCACTACAAATGCACCAAGTCGAAATTACCATACACTCAATTATTAAAACGTTACAAGATACAGAGCCTGGAGTCAAGACGCAGCCTACTTATGGCCATGATGCTTCATGGTTTATGTAATAACAGATTGTCCAGATATTACTAATAGCATATGTTACGTTGTACCTAGAACTGTGATGCGCCGAGGGGCGCGCGTGCCTCGGCTGTTCCACACCGCCAGGTGCAGAACCCACGCTGGCGCACGGGCGCCTCTTCGACGCATCGTAGATACGTATAACACACACGTCATTAGATATCTTTGCACTTACGCACTCTAAGTTCAAAAGGATGGCTATTGAATCCTTAAAGTAGTTATCTAACTCTTATTACCTCAAATAACACACGAATAATTAACGATTAACGCACGCGTTTAATAATTTTTTAAGCTATTATTTCGCGGACATTGGTGTGGGCGTTTACTTAGTTTTAAATATATTATGTCATACTTTATTGTAATGTGTAACTGTTTTATGTCCCAATAAAGTAAAATAAAAATAAAATTTAAAATTTAAAAAAAATATAGCGAAAAAGCGATTTTGTTTTATACTATGTACTTCATTACTGCATGGTATAAAATATAGTTCCTTTCTCAATCCCTATATCCTTACGTAAACATAAATGAACATGTTACAGTTTTTGAAATATTGACTGAAAAGAAAGATTTATATGTATAATCCAAACTAATATTCTAAATGCAAAACTATGTCTGTCTATCTTTTCTTCACGCCTAAACTACCGAACCTATTTTTGTGAAATTTGGA